GTAAGTTTGATCTAATCAACATTGATCTGCCTTTCAAAACAATGGTTCTCATGGACCTCTCGGCCACTCCATTTTCTTCAGGTGTGTAGGCTGCGGTTATTCTCAAATAAATTCCTTCTTTCTGACAATAAGGAAGAAGAACGTCGTTTAAAAATTCACCACCTCCGTCCAAAGTAAAACATTTCACTTTTCTATCACACTGGCGCTCAACAAGAGAGATATATGTTTGTATAGCACCATACACTTCTTCCTTTTCTTTTGATTTTAAACCAGTGATATGCCGATAGGATGTGTAATCATCAGTGAAGAGAATGAAATATAAACATCTGCAAATGGCGGGAGTGCGCATAATGCCGCTCAAGTCTATGTGAACATTATCCAAGGGGTGAATGGACCGAGTACGAGTGTGTGAATGAGGTTGACGGTGTGCTTTAGAAAGATCACATGAATTGCAAGGTAAGATAGCGGGCAATACAACTTTAGATAAAGATAACGGAAGACCAAGAACAACATCCCCCTTAATCATTTGCTTCAGGTACGCAAAGTTTGGGTGACCTAATTGATGATGAAGAAGATGTAATGATTCAGTTAAAGTATTGGTGATTGCTGAAGTGTGATATGTGTCTTCGGATGATAAAGTACGCACCGCAGCAAGATTAAGTAACATTGATTGCGGGTCAACTCTTCCTGATAGCACCGTTTTTCCATCACGTTGAATTATAAAAGTATCATCTTCACGGCGAGTGGTGATCCAACCATCATGTAATAATCTACCGCCAGCAATTAAATTCTGCTTAAGATCTGGTACAAATAGGCAATCGGATAAAGTCGTGACATCCCCAGTTGGTCCTATGATGGTGACATTTCCTCGTCCTTTAATTTCAAGCGTAGCTGAACCGCCTGCTAGACCAACACGTTGATGAGATGACATGTTCATGATCAAGGAATCAGAGTCGAAGAATTTCTCGGATCTCAACATATGATGAGTGGTGCCGCTGTCCACAATTCCAAAATGTTCGCTTTCAACATCAGCCGCTGAATCAACAATGTATACGGCGCTGGCACTAGCCGAAAACTCAGAGCGATCTAATGCTTCTTGGAGAGATGACAAAGAAGGAAACGAAGGAGTGGAGACGCTTGAGGTAGAAAATGACAAGTCGGCAGCGGAAGCTGAAGGACGTTCAACCCATTGGCCTTTCGCTTTCTTGGCTTCGACCCAAGCATTATACTTGTCGATATTTTTGGGGTTCCGGATGCATTCTGCTTCAGTGTGCGTTAAAGATACACACTTCTTGGGTGAACACCGAGTTTGTACGAAGCCTTGGCGTCTCCTCATTGGACTAGCAGCACTAGCTTCGATGATGGGTACGACAGCAGTTGTAGGATGAAGTAAGGCCCGATTAGTGATTCAAACATTCAAGGCGGTGACAACTGAATCATATTCAAATTTGTTGGTGTTGGCAATGTCTTCAGCAACTTTGATCCAATCCGAGTTTAAGGACATTAACAATTGTTGTCCTAACTCCACACTACCAATCTTTCCACCTGAGTTAATGAAAGAGGTGTAACGGCGATGAAATTCATCCAAATGTTTGGGTAAGAGTGAGTTTCCTTGAGTCAGGCCAAAAAGGTGTCTTCGAAGCAACATTTGATGAGCTGGAGTTCGAGGAGCATGATGATCACGAATCTTGAACCACAATTTACTCGGAGTGGACTCAAGTTCTGAACCTAATTCAGTCTCAGTGGTAATGAAAGGTTCGAAACGTTTTCGGTTCGGCTGGTCCAATCTAGCGATCATCCAGGTGGTAAGGGTTTCTCGGACTACCTCGTTGAATAGACAAAGATCGGCATCGGTAGATGGTTCATCTTTATCAGACAATAAGAAAGATCCAAGTGATAACGATTTGATGCCAGTAACAATTTCTGAAGACCAGTTTGGATAATTGGTATCATTAAGTTTCTCGGTGATTGAAACCTTAGACAAGGTGTTAACCATAGATGAAGCTATTTGAAACTTCCGACTTCCAAAAGCGGATGGATTAGTCGTCGTAACAATAGTTGTACCAGCAGGTGGATTAGATGGGATTGATGTTGACATCGTTGGTAAAGACAATAGACCTTCGATGAAAGTTTGATCACCAATCGAATCCGAATTCAAATCTGAAGTAGATTGGAAGTCTTCCTGTTCTGAAGAAATGGATTGTGCGGGTGAAGATGCGAAAAACTGGTTCGATAAATCAGGTTCCTCGTCGTTCATAAAGCGAAAAATTGATATGTCGGATCAATTGACACTCTCGCTACCATGTAAATGGCTTGAACGATCGGGGAATCCTAATAACCAGTGCGAAATTAGCGTGCACTCTTCTCCTCACAGTCTTGGGTATGCAGACCCTTGACTAACCTAATAACCAGTGCGAAATTAGCGTGCACTCTTCTCCTCACAGTCTTGGGTATGCAGACCCTTGACTAACCTAATTCGTGGGAGGGAAATATAAAAGATGAGAACGAATAATGATGAGCTATTAAAGCTCGTGACTGTGATCTGATAGGAAGTTCTCTTTCCAGCAGATTAGGAAAGAGAGCAGGATCAAAGGATTCGCACACAAAGATAACTACAATCAATTCAGGAACACTAGTTAATAAACATCATCGACGTCATTGTATTACATAACCAAAACTCCAACCGAAATCCAACCTAAGTAATGTACCTGTCTTGATTGTCTTTCAACACTGATGAGGTATTGAAGTGTAGCCTTTGCAAAGTGACCAATCTTTTGATTTGAGTACAAACAAAATACTCATCAAATATCACAGTGAATCTTGTCACATGTCTCATGCACAAGGATAGTAAGATGGGTTTTGAGCCTTGGGCATGTATATTATAGTGATGTCAGAGGAACAACCACCAACACTCAGACAGCTATGCTACACTGCACTGCTGAATATTTTGAATGTAGTGCAATTGCATGCTGCTAAGATAAATCCTCCCTTTGAGATGGTGTAGCTTGCCAAGCTATGTGGCACTGCATCCTACTGTACCCAGGTTTTGCACCACCACGCTACATCACGGTCAAAGTTGTGTAGCAAAAGGTTTCCAGGTAGGTTATGTAGCGCAGCTGGAATTCCCATTTGCATAAATCATGTTTGATATATGTCCTTGGCCTACCTTGGCGGGATGTTTTGATGTGTACACTGCCTACAACATCAGCCACAAACTGATCTTGAGCTTTTGATGTTTTGAGTCAGTTGTGATTGTGAGATAGCGATCGAGATTCGGGCCAAGGGAAAAGACAGCTTTTTCGTCATTTTATCAATACGCTGGAGCAAACCCAATTATATGGAACCTAAACACAGCGATATCGAGGATAGATCCGACAGAAAACCGCGATTCAACACGTATATATGTAGAGCTAAGATAGAAGCCGTCAGTTCTTGTTAAATGTGGATTCCGCAAGAAAAGGTTCATATGTAGATTAGGTATTCGATCAAACATAAAGCAGGGATATTTGCATATAAGGTATCATCATATCACCAGCAGTTTTCCCGCATTTGACACAATGTATTGAAGACACAGGTAGATTTGCACATTTGGAAACGTGTTAGATAAATATCTACAGAAATATCATGCAAATCATTAATTTCTTCATGTTATCTTACTTTTCAATTTCCCATTCCATGTTCATAATTGGGGCGCTTTAATTGTAAAATGAAGGTGTCTTGGAGGCTTGGTACATGGTCCGGACGATAGAAGACAAACAATAGTTATACTCTAGCATGTAGTTATATTTGACCCACAAAGATAGTTAGTGCGATATGTGAAATCGAAAGCAATTGAAGAAAATCATATGCGTATGCGACATTGCTGCGACTACCTTCATATTCTGTTTTTTTTTCTTGGTGAATTAAAAATTTACTTGTAATTCCTCATCTTTTCAGCCGATGAGGAGTTTTTTTAACTTTGTGGTCTGGGTTACACCTCACACACGTCACGTCAAGCTGTAACCAAGTCTCGAAACGATGCGTACATGATAGGCTTGCATGATACTGAAGGCATTTTACCATCTCCATTTTACACATACTGACATATGTGTCGCATGATTGAGCGGAGACGCCTCAGAACAGTTTCCCGAACAGTTGATCCAAAAGACCATGATTTTGCTTTAGAGTTGAACGTCTAAAGATGTGGGACGAGGCGGGAAAGATCCGGGTTCAAGAAATTTAGAACAAAAGACCGGTTGAACAAAAGACCAACAGAGAGATCGTTTGAAATGCAACACTCACTTCATGACCATCAAACATCAAAGGTTGTCAAGAGTTTAACACAGGGGTTAACATAGAGCATGGATGAGAATTCCAGACTGCATACGTACAGACTAGAGTAGCACCAAAATGACATTTACGCAATGACGAGCTCAACGAAGTTGGTAAGTCCATGTGGTATGGATGTACAAAAGGAGCGAACAAAGACACGCGCCATCTGCCAAGTATGTATGTACAAGCCATTTTATATTTATGAGGATTGAACTGGGTTGAAGGCATGTGATTTGTAAGTGATAGACTACATAAGTAATTCTTTTATTTGTCTTTGTGATGATTATTTTAGTTATGTGTAGTTCAATTCTCAATCTGGTCAAAGCCCCCAGCTTAACATAGCTTAACAAAGCAACCGAAACAGACCCATGAACCCAAATCGATCGATTGAGTCTCCAAAAGCAAGCGCTCACCTGGAGCTTCACACTCACAGGTCCATTTGAGGCTTTTTGTATTTTTGTGTAACGTTCCTTCAAGCGGTCAAACAAAAGCAGGAGGGGCAAGCCAGTGGGTAGAAATTACTTACATAATTTTAATCAAAAATGATAGAAATCAAGAACTATAGCTATACAACCCTATACAACCTCAACAACCAATAAATTAGACTACAATAGACTACAATATGTACAGTACAAACTTCAAAATCAAAATCCCTTAAGAACCAAAAACAGCCTTTCGTCGTTAGAATCGTTGCTTCTTCTGGCTTCGTAATTTTTTTTCATTGCTTTATTATTTTTATTAAACACACCAAAACCCTGTCCCTCCTCATTAAAACAATACTCTCAATACTCTAAAAAAAATACTCTACCCTACCCCTTCTTCTTCGTTCCCACCATTTTCCTCATCATACTATTGTCATTTTTTAAAAGCAGCACTACGCTTGTCTTTCAATTTTCTACACGTTCAACCTCAAAAAGAACCCAAAGCTACATATCTATTTTCCCCGCAACTACAAAAACTCATCCAACCCCCATTGGTGTTCTCGCACTTCTCAAATTCTCTTTAACATCCTCATCAACCCAGAGCATCCTTTATCTCCACCTGAATTGCTTCGACTTCCTCTTCTGCGTTCGCTTCGTGTTGCCCTTACCCTGCAATCGCTCTATCATCAGCTTGATACACTACATACTTGCTCTCTTACTCCTCGGTTCGTTTCATCAACTCCGTCTTGCAAATCGTTTGTCCTTTTCTCTCTTCTCTTTATCGCGATATTGGATGTAATCCTTATCGAACCTCTTTTGCTTCACGCCTTTTGCACATCAGTTGGGTTCCAAAATACGATCATCATGGTGAAAGACACTCATGCTCATAAAGCCTTACTTGACGCCAAGGACCAGGTGAGGATCCACATGTTTTGTTCTTTTCTTTGCTTTGTTCTTCCCACGCATACGCATAGCTTCCTATATCTGCTCTCCTCCTACTTGCGTTGTGAATTGTGCTCTCTAACATTGAATGTCTTTGTAAATCGTGATCGATACAGCTGCTTGCAGCTTATGCCTCCGTTCATTCATCCCTTGGCCATTTGATCGGGCTCGTCCAACACTCTGATCCGCGTGTCATTGCCGAGACCTTGGGGACCGGCTCTGGTCTGCCTATTCCTGCTCATGCTGCTCGCTATGGTCACACACCTCAGTCTGCACAACAGCAGGTCTCTCAGCATTTGCCCTCACATCGTCAGTTCTCTCTTATAATCGCTCGATATGCTGGCTCATTCGTCTCACTTAAATCCGCTCTTTTCCCCAAAGACCCCCACGGCCGCCAGGTTGCCCAAAACGGAACGACAGGCCCAAGCTTCACTGCCGTCACCCCCTATGCGCCCCACAATCGAACTCAGTACAATCCCAATCCTCATCTTCAAAACTCAGGTGGTTTCACAGCACCCGAATCCGAGGACGAAGCGGATGATGATGATGACGAAAACGAGGACCCAAGTGAAGAAGAACATGCGGGAGCCATACATGCCCCTCAACATACGTATGCACCAGCCGCTGAACAACCAGTAGGCAAGAAGGGACGTGAGAAGAAGGTGAAAAAAGAGCGTGACCCGAACGCACCCAAACGTCCTGCGTCTGCATAGTTGAGCCCCAATTCCTTTTCGGCATCACATTCGATCCGTCTCACTTTGCTGATCTACTCACCTCATCCAGTATCCTCTTCCAAAATGCCGTACGTCAAGAGATGCGAGCTGCGAATCCTACAGCAGATTACAAAGAATTGGCTCGTCAGATTGGTGATCGATGGAAAAGTCTCGATGAAGAGGCTAAAAAGGTATGTGACACCTTTCAAAAACAATCAAGAAGTCCCATATCATCGGCCATTGACCATCTACTTCGACTTCTCTTTGTTCAGCCATGGTCCGAAGCCGGTAAACAAGCTATGTCATCTTGGAATATCCAAAATCGCGAATACAAAAGTTTACACCCTGAGGCCGCCACACAAACCACATCGCCTCATGCCCTTTCGAATGGATCATCTGTCGCAGCTGCTCCTCCTAAACGTCGAAGAACGGTCCCTACCCTTGACGCAGACGGTAATCCGATCAAAAAGAAGCGAGGTCGTCCCAGCAAATCTGATAAGGTAGAAGAAGTCGCCCCAATCCAACCTCAGCAACCACAGCCTGTCTCTGTTGCTCAACCAAAGTTTGAGCACCGCCCTGAACATGCTCCTCAACAAGTTCGGATGGGAATTACCAATGGTATCGGTCATCAAGCAGTTGTCCCTCAACAACATTTTCGACCTACTGGTCAGGTGAGTCATCCATTCATTCACACGTGTGCACTTGTACTTTAGAGCTCATATTTACTTTAATAGGCTGTTGTGGCTGGAGATGATGACGAAGAGGATGATGCGGCCGAGGGTGATACTGATTCAGATGGCGGCGAGAGAATCAAACCGCCATCCGCTCACTCGCAACCACCTGCAATTCAAACTGCTGAAGAAGAAGATGAGGATGAGGACGCTGAAGAAGAAGAAGAGGAGGAAGAAGAAGAAGAAGAAGAGGACAGTGAAAGTGATGGCCCCGCGGGTAAGAAAATGAGACCGAATGCATAGAGAAGCAAACCAGAAGGATGCAGAGAGGTGATCGGGGATGTGAAATAGTTTATGGGATTCGAAAAGGTTGCCTTTGTGAATAGGCTGTTTATGTTTAGTATCTTGATTTCTTTTTGTCTCTTCTCCTGCGATCCAAGAAAAAAAAATCACAAAAATTGGTTTTGTTATCAGACTTGAAATTGGACTGCTGCTGTGTTTTGCTCTGGCTCTCTGCTTAATGGATATGCTTTTGTCTACTATCACTGGGAAAACCAAAGACGAGAGCAAAAGTATGAGAATCAAAATTTGACACTGCTGAACTCGAGAGATGGGCTCCTTTTTGACCTTTGATTGCGCTTGGAGATGTTGTGAAGGCAAGGCCAGATGGGGGTAATTGTGCGTATTCACCTCCCAGCAATCAAATGTTAACTTGCCTCTCTACAAGAATGATAAAAAGAGGATGAGATGTTTGAATTCCACCTTACCATGGAACTTGATCTTGAAAGAAGCCTTTTGGAGGTCCTCCAGGGGTTTGTAAGTGAGTGAGTGATTTGAAAAGTTTGACAATTGTTTTCAAAGTGTTCCTTCATTGGAACGTGATCAAAAGCTTATGGAATCACAAACTCAAGATAGATTTGGGGTTCAAATCAACTGATCATCATTTCATTCATCACAGCTTTGGAATGATTTCAGGGATCAGTTCTCATTTTGTACACAAGACTTTGGCAAAAATCCGGCACAAGTTGCATTTGTTGGAGCATTTATAACCTGATGAAGGTTTTTGGTAAAGAAGTTGTATTTGAAAAATGGTAGTTTTTAGTGAAGTTGAATTACGTCGCATAACTGGTGCATTGAAAGTTAAAGTCAAGAAATACGTGGGTTCAAGTCATGTGGTCATTTAAAGCCCATTGTTTGTTACGTTCGGGTCATGGATGTCAATTGCTGTGAGTCATTTCCCTGCGAATGTTTCAAAGATTAGAATCATTTACATAAACGATCACGAGACTTGAAAGATGAAAATAAATCTCAAAGACTTCAAAGACTTCAAGTGAAGAACACAGCAACAGCTGACTACATACATAGAATCGATCGATGACCGAACCTAGGTATTCATCCTGAGTGAATGTCACCTCATCATCACACCAATTCACAGAGGAAACCAAGCCGAAAAAAAGTTTAATGAGAATTTGGCCAGTTACATGCGTCATCGAATCTTATAGATCTTGAGTGAGGAGATCAGAAGATAAGAATAAGATCGAATCAATAGACTACGTCAACTCTCGACCTGTGCAACCTTGTGCAACTCTCACTTTGCCATCTTCATATCCTCCGAAAGGGCTTTAACTTTTAACTCAAAGTCTTTCTTTTCCCAGCATTCAACTCTTCTTCAATTCAATCGATTCGTCGCAAAACAAAAACTTCTCAGCTTCCCCTCTTTAATTTCTCCCGTATCATAATGAATATCATGATGCACATCGTTGAACCTTATGCTTTGGTTTTCTACGTTATATGGTAGATTAGATGAGCCATTGATCGCAGTTGTATCGTCTGAGGAATATAACTGAACTTGAACCTTTAAATACCAATCGTCTCACAATTTCTTCTTTTCCTTCTGTTTTTGTAAGAACAAAAGAGATTTCTTCAAGCTTAACCACATTTATCAAAAGAGTTATTCGAATTATCCGACCTTATCAAGCATTCTCGCCAGCATTCCAAAGCTGTCAGCTTAAATCTCAGCAAACAGTTGATTCAGCCACCTCATCGATTTCTCTTCCCTTCTCTTCTCTTCTCTTCCAGTTTCTCAATCGCATACATTACCACCCATAACACACACGCGCGCGCGTCTCAAATCAGACTTTACGCAGTCAAACCTTCATCACATCAACATCAAACTTATCTTCAAATCACCACACCATAAAACTTGTCCCAAAATCATCAATAGCAAAACTGATCATCTTGGATCAATTTCTCCACTTTTGACCTCAAAGGTTACAGATTCAAAACACTTTACTTTTAGTCTCATCACACTTTACTTGTTCCTTTTTAAAAGATTACAGAGTAACAAATCATCCTGAACCTTCTTACCATCATCCTTTTCTCTCTCTCTTTCATCTCACTTTCTCATCATTCAAGATGACCTTGGCTGAGAAGGAATTAAGTAATACTACCAATGAGAAACAACAACTTGATTTACCAGCTGAAATAGCTGAGTTAAGTAAACTATCTGCTAAACTCGAAAACCCTCTTGCTGGTTTATCCATTGAAGAATTAGAAGCATCTGCCGTTGAATTTTGTGAAAAGAATGGTTTACTTGATCAAGGTGAATTATGACTTTTCTTCAAAAAAACTCTTATTTTCTCTTTCCCTCTCTCAACATCTTTTGACCATCTTTCTAATTGTTTGAATTTTTTCTCTATACAATCAGTCGATAATTTCAAACGTGGAGCTGTATTGGCTGCCGACCCAAAAAATTTGGATCGGATTTCACATATCACTGATGAAGAGCGTCAATTTATCGATGCTGAGACTACCCATAAATGGAGACAGCCTATGATCATGTAAGTTTCAAATCTATCTACTTCCAGAAACCTTTGCTGAATTTAAATTGACTCTTGTGTGTCTTCTACACAGGTATTATATTGCTGTGATTTCATCCATGGCAGCTATTGTACAAGGAATGGATGAAGTAATTTATCTTTTGGCTATTTTACTCCTATTTTACCAAAAATTAATGTATGATTTGTTTATCTTTTCCTTTTACTTTACCAAAAAAAGTCCGTAGTAAATGGTGCTATGTTATACTATGATGAGGAATTTGGAATTGCTTCAGATGGTAGCAATAAAACCGCTCTGATTCAAGGTTTAGTGAATAGTGCTCCTTATCTATGTTGTGTGAGTTCATATCTTCAACGGAAATCCTTCCCTTTTAAATTTTCTATCATCAAATCCAAATTTATTCTTGAATTCTATTCTAACATCTTCCTTATTTTTTTCAGGCTGTCTTTGCTTGTTGGTTAACGGATCCATTGAATCGTTTAATGGGAAGACGTGGGGTGATCTTTCTGTCTTGCGCTATTGCTGGATTAGCTTCAATTTGGGAAGCTTTTACATACTCTTGGCCTCAACTCTTTGCTGCTCGATTAGTATTGGGTTTGGGTATTGGTCCTAAGGTAATCTTCATCTCTGATCTTTTTTCACCTTGTACATTATTTTGAGTTTGATTTATTTCTTTTTATTCGGTCTCTGGATTGCTAGTCTGCTACTGCTCCTATTTATACGGGTGAGTTTATTTCCTCTTTTTTATCGTGATTATAGTTGAATTTAGTTGTTTTGTGTTGTCTAGCCGAATGTGCACCCGCACCTATCCGTGGAGCTTTGGTAATGCAATGGCAAATGGTGAGCTTTTTTTATGATGTCCTATTAAAATAAAAAACACTCTGTAATGATTACTAATTGGTTCTCGATTGATGTCTACAGTGGACCGTGAGTAACATGATACTCGACATAGTCACTCTAGACTCAAATAGCATCTTGACGCCATGCATATGACTCGATCTTTCAGGCTTTTGGAATCGCATTAGGAGATATTGTTAGCGTGATCTTCATCGATGTGAAACCTACTGTAGCTTGGAGGTCAGTAATAAATCCAAAGTGACCCGATTTCTCAATGTAAAGACTGACATACATACAAATTTGAATATTTCAAGATTAATGTTAGGATCCACAGTAGTTGCACCAATCTTCGTTTGTGCCATGATCTACTATGCACCAGAATCACCACGTTGGTATATGGGTAAAGGAAGAGTTTCAGAAGCTTATAAATCGATGAGAAGACTTAGGTTTTGTGATTTACAAGCCAGTCGAGATTTATTTTATATTGCTAAATTACTTGAAATCGAAGAAGAGACTATACAAGGTCGAAATTTAGTTGCTGATATGTGGAGAGTACCTAGAGTCCGTAGAGCAGGTTTGTTTGTTTTTCTTCTTCAACCTATCTTTTTCTCCTTTTTTGATTACTGACTTTTTTGGTCCACGCTTGTTTGTTTGGGGATTCTTAGCTTATGCATCAGGTATGATGGTTTTCTGATCTTGATCACTTATTGATCTATCTTACTTATCATTTTCTTTATTTCTAGGTTTGGTGATGTTCATGCAGCAGTTCTGTGGTGTCAACGTTAGTATTGTTCACTACATTCTTATTTCTTGATCATCATCGCTGACCAAGTCTCATTCAATCAGGTGATCGCATATTACAGTTCGTAAGTGAAATTTTCTTAATTTTCCACACTATCTTCTAGGTGTTCAACTGGAATTGCGTTTTCTAAATTCCGATCCACTTCGTTTAGACAAGTTTTCGTTCAAGCTGGATTCAGTGTAAAGACTGCTTTACTTACTACTATGGGTACTGGTATCACCAATTGGCTCTTTGCAATCCCAGCTCTCTATACTATCGATGTAAGCCATTTGGTTTTGCTTTTCGAACAAGTGACGATCAACATCCTCATTCAAATTTGGATCCTTCTTGGTTTTTGTTAGACTTTTGGACGTAGAAATCTACTTTTAGCTACTTTCCCGGCTATGGCTGTTTGTCTTTTAGTGACCGGTATGGCATTCTTCATTCCATTTGATGGGCCTGGTGATTCTCGTCGAGCTGGTGTGGTCGCTACTGCGATTTACCTCTTTATGGTCTTCTATAGTCCTGGTGCTGGGGTATGTGGCTTCTTTTCATGTTAATTAATTTTATCTTTTCCCGTTAATAATTATTGAGGTTGTTTTGTACTTTAGCCTGTACCGTTCACTTATAGGTATGTGGTCATAAAGTTAAACGTCGATTGAAAACTTTGAACTCACATTTTATTCTATTCTTTCCTATTCCTAGTGCTGAGGCTTTCCCGCTCTATATTCGTGATTTCGGAATGTCATATGCTACTGCAGTCACTTGGTTGTTCAAGTAAGGACCTATTTTCTGTTCCTCTCTTTCTACACTTTGTGACCACTGCTGATTGTTTTGGTAATTATCAGTTTTGTCTTGGCTATCACTTTCCCATTATTATTGAATGCTTTCACTCCACAAGGTGCCTTTGGTTGGTATGGTGAGTAATATCTGTCCTTGATTGTCTTCCAGAGGTTTGGATTGAATCTGATTTTGATTTGGTTTTAGCTGGTTGGTGTATCATCGGATGGGTCTTGGTCTTTTTCTTCATGTAAGCTTGGATACTATTTATCTCGATATAATCGAAGTGAATCATCTAACCCGTTTATCTTTCTAGGCCTGAGACGAAAGCTCTAACACTTGAAGAATTAGATTATGGTCAGTCTTTTTACTTCACAACAATAAATGAAACTTTTGAATTTACTAATCGATAATTCTTCTCTGAATGAACGTTTAGTCTTCTCTGTTCCAACTACGAGACATGCTTCCTACCAAATTAAGAACCTTTCTTATTGGATTAAGAAGAACATATTCCGTCAAAGAGTTCAACCTTTACCTCCTCTGTGCGTTTTAATTCATGTTTAGATCTTTCAACTTACTTGACCAATTTGATTGAGATGTACTGATGGTGTTTAATGTGTTTGTTTTACTTTAGATATCAAATGGAGAAATTGGTTGGATCATGAAAAACCATGCATTTAAAACAACCAGAAAAGTCGGTCATGAAGGCCTACTGAAATCTATCTGACTTGTTGATTATTTATCTTTATTTTGGTGATCTGAAAGCATTGTTTCCTTCTTCTTCTTCTTCATGGGATTTTTCTCTTTTGTTTGGTCTTTCAGTGTGTGTTTTAATCATCATTTTTGACATAAATAAATACACAAGAAAAAAGGAAAGAAAAACAATGTAACCAGTTTTGAATTTTGTTTGGTTTTTGTAAAGCCTTGTTTTGCTTTTTTGATTTTTGTAGAAAAAAAGTCAAAACTGATTTTTTTACCCTGGACTCAAAATCGAGAGAGTTATGAAAGATTCTGGTCCAAGGTCTTTCCCAGAAGAGAAGCACATTCAGTCTCATAAGATAGAATTCAATTTTTGTGAAAGGTTTTCTTCCAAAAAGTTTTCTACCTAGAAGTCCACAACCCCCCACAAACCAAACCTCTAATGCCCCATTGTAAACTTCATACATTTTCCCCAAGTGGAAATGGGAAAATGATTAAGAGTGTCTGTCATAAAAGGATCTATCACTGTATACCTGAGCCATAACATCTGCACTACATATGTGCAGCAGGCTCAGTGAGTGAGTGGCTATCATGTACATACAGATCTGTTCAGCTATCTGCCCATCTGAATAAGTGAATCATATGTAATACATGCTGTAACTTTTTTTCAGCTTGACAGAAGCACTAAAAATTCACTACATACACTGACTCAAAGGTCTTGTTGAGGAAAGAGCAAGGAACTGTATCAGCTTTTTTATGAATTCAAACTCAAATGAAGGGTATGTAGTATAAGAAAGAGAAATTACATCATATGCCTCAATAGAAGCTCTCTGGGGTCCTGGTAGATCCTTTTATGACAGAATTTACTCTTAATTGGTTTCCCATTCCCACTTGGGAATGATGTATAATGTTTACAGTGTCCCTACTCAGATTGTGTATTCAGCACATGTAAGAGATTTTGGGAATCTTCAAAAAAAGGTGACGACCAAAATCAAGATAAAATTGAGAAAAGCCAAAGTGACTATTTGATTGGACAGACCAGATATGAACTCAAGAACAGATGTAAAAGATTTATTGGATGTTGTGGTGATCTATTTGTGGGATCAATCAAGAAAATTAATCATTATTACTTTATCAAGTTATTAGAAAACTTCAGTGTAGTAGAAAATTCAAAATGGCGGTTTTTAGATTGATTGAAGCTCTTAGAGGCTTATGTGTAGTTATTGACTCAAGATTATGTCATCTCATTTCAAATATATTCATAAGATCATTATAGTTTCCTTACAAAGTTATTACAAAAAGACAGAAAAAGAAAAGATAAGAAAAATTCAAAAATATAGGTGTAAAGGTTGGAAAATGGTTTTTTGGGTATTAATATTAAATTTATGGGATTTATGAGGTTAGAATATGAAAGAACAACATTTTATTATACAGCAACAATTTTAATCTTGAAGGTTGATAAGGGAAACCAGAAGTTATTAGCAGAAAGGTACTTTTTCAAGGATGGTAAACAAGGGTTATACGTGTAGTTTACACATGTAATGGGGTAGTAGTGGAAATTAAGGTTGCCAAGAGGATTTTCCGGCATTTTTAAGGTTATGGAAGATGATGCCATATTACATGAGCAAGAAAAAGAGAGTAACAGCTGTGAAAAGTGAAGAAAATGGGTGAATTTTGTCAAAAATGAAGGTTTTCAGCTAATTACATATGTCAAACAATGTCAGATTAGGTTGGTAAATAGCTCATTCAACACAGCAGAGTGGATTACATAATTTACAAACTTTAAATCACTAGTAGCAGAGGTTTATGTAAAAAGGTATAAGGGAAATAATAAATTGGTGTGAATCTCAAATTTACAGTCACAAGTCAACATGTAACACCAAAAAACCTTAACTTCACAACTCAATATCTTACTCATCACTCATCAGAAATAGGTCATATGGGTGTCATAAATGATCAGTATCACGAGGGCTACAAGATGCACTATAGTAGTTCAAAAATGGACCCCATCTGAAAAAAGTTGTAATCTCAAAAATTGGGTTGCAGCTAGTTTACCAGGAAAAAATCACCTGTATTCATCTTAAGAAGTGCTGTACATTGAATCATTGTGTCATTGATCACTTTTGGCTGTGAAAATTACATCATACATTAGTAACAAGATCATTACATTGCGTCATTTATGGTTCTCAAACCTGTGCAAGAACTGTGCAAGACCAATGTGCAAGATCCGTGCAAGATTTCTTGCACCAATCTTGTGCATTAAATTTTTTGACAACCCCAGCTATTTTGTTCTAACTGGTACAAAAACTGTGTGAGACTGATGTGCAAGATCCGTGCAAGATCTGTGCAAGTTCTATTCATGTCTTGCACAGAAGTTGCTTGAAACTTGCATGAATTTTTGCATAGGTTTGAGAACCATAATTATATGGTTTTTAGGGTTCTTTAGGCGGATTTGGCTGGTTTTTGAGGCTGTTGACTATTGTAGAGGTTATTACATGTAGATATAAGTACTCCTTGATGATTTTGGGATTGTTGTTCCCTTTTCTGCATCTTATACCTTTGTTGTAGTGTTATAAATCATCATTTATTTACTATATTTGTACTAAGATCACTTAAATCTGCCCCTTCAAAGCAAGGAGAAATTTATTTACGTGTGTTAAAAGACTATAAGTCTCTTTGGGAATAATAATTAACAACAGTATTGCTAGTAATAACATAGTTTGTGGACTTTTTGCGCTTAAAATCTGGGAATAATACTTCACAACAGTATTGCTTTATTTCTTGGGTGCCTTTATCGTTTTCTCTGTTATCACAAAGTGGTCAGCAAGTGCCCTTGTGCTGGTTTCTTTGAAGAAGGCAGTCTTTAGGCAACTTCTACTATATCACACATAGTAGATTATCCCTTCTTAGGTGTTGTAAAGCTCTTGTTGAGCTTTAAATACTACAACGGGTTCTTCAATGCCTTTCCTGGAGAACTTCAAGTACTTGATGTGAATAGAATATGGAGTGAATAACACGTTATTGAGTTAAAAAAGAACAGATAATCTCCCAAGTTTCCCAGGTCCTAAGAGACAAGTGAACTTGAAACTTGAAAGAGCTTTAGTATATGAGAAAAAAATAGAGCAAATAAAATACTCAGAAGCAAGGAATTGAAACCAAACAAGACCATAAGCACAAATGTGAAAAAGCAACACAGAAATCTACCACAAATACCACTCTGATTGAAAGAAGAACATAATACACCCCTGCCATACTCTTGTGGTGTACTAAAAGAAGAAAGCCTTACCTTTGACCATCACAAATAAATCCTTGGGGGGTCTTTGTATCATCCAAATTCTACTCATCTTTGGAGCCACTTCAAGCTCTCTTCTCTGGGGTCAGGTAGATCACCAATTTCTAATCCTGAATAAGGGGAGAGCTCCTCTTCAAGTATCTTGGCATACTTATCAATGTGTCCTTTGTTTTTTGAAACTTCCCCCCATTGCCAAACTGTGCCAGGAGACTTAAAAAATAGTTTCATGTAAGATGCTCATCAATATACATTCAATAGGAGACAAATTGTTTGGTGAGATGAAAACTTTAAGGTAACTCACCAATATCTCTTGAAGACTTATTAAAACGTCTTCAATTTCATAGGCCAGAGCACATTCATCTATGATTGCTACATGATCATCGAATATCTTTGACTCAAGCACATGTCCAATACTATGATATAGGGTTTCCCTGAATTCAATGTCCTTGTCTAATTGCTTTAATAAAATTTGTGATGAACCTGGAGAATATTTGAGTAAATGTTGTATGACTTCTAGGACCATCAGATATACCTTTGGAAGCTCATTACGCTCTATATGGGTATATAAGATTTTTTTTACTTCAGAAAGTATTCTGGTCACCAAGCTTGGATCAAGTTTGGACACATGTAGGGGAACTCTCTGAAGAGACATTCCCAGTGATTCAGTTTCGGAGAACTTGAACAAGTTTCCTGATAATAAGTGCCTATGGGCCATGGCAAGATAATTTGGACCTATCAAATAAATATCAGCTGATTGAAGATCTTTGAAAATTGGAATTAGTCACACCAACTTCACTCACGTTGTTTAAATGGCATATAGTGGTAGTCAAAGAACTCATGGATTCCCACTTCCAAAGCATGGTACATTTCTGACCAAACAGGTGCAAGTCTTTGAACAATACGAGGGTTCTGATCAATTCCTTGAATAACCATATCTTTCAAGGAAGGATGAATGAGAGATGCAATGACTGCCAGCTTGTACAGGCTGCCCTCTAAGCTATTTGGTATCTCGTGATGACCTCCAAAGCTGAAGATTCTTTCCAAAATTGGTGCTCTGAGTGGTCTGGAAGGATCAATCATTTCATCATACTTTATATAATTTGAGGTGATTCCTGTGGTCCTAAGGATTGATTTAATATCAGCCTTGAAAAATGGAAGATGAAGATCTCTGTACAGATTGAAATCCATCTCAATCCATTCCAAAAGTGTGTTACTATCTTTTGGATATACATTCTGCCAATTTTTCATCAAATAAATAAAGATTGCCTTCCCATATGTTCCTTCCCAGCTAGGGATCTCAAGATGTTTGAAATAGCTTGCAAAGCTACGGATCATTGACTTGATACTTGAATCTTCTTCAGGAATCTTAACATTCAGTAGGTTCTCAGAGACAAATTTATCAATGCTGCTCCGTTTGGCTGGGAAGTACTTTGTCCTTATCTCATCATGTGATTCAAATAATCTGGCTCTTGAAAAACATTCTTCTAAGCCTAATAAAATGATGCAATTGTCAGAGCTTGAACATTTATTATAAGACTTACACTTCCAAAGGACCTGAGTGGAATCATATTACCTTGGTTGGTGTTGTGAAACTGGGACTTCAACAAAATTGACCTAAATTTCTCTGTCAGCGATTCCTCGTATTCTGGTTTGGGGAAAGACACATCATTACACCAATCAGTACCACACACTGAATTTATGACAGGAGTAAAGGTATGGCAAACCAATGGCAGCTTGAATCTCTAAATAGGAATGATGCTTCCAAGGTGCATGTTGCAATCTATTGACAATGTCTGTTGATATTGAAGGTAAATTTTTGACCAGTGCTGCAACAATACCTAAAACCCACAACCTTTCACACTCTCCCAAGTTACCTCTATGCAGCGCAGCATGTGCAGTACTGAAGCACTCCAGTGCCAGTGATTGATTTTCATGTATCCACATTCCCCAAGGCTGAGAAGCTGCGTTTAGTTTTGATATGAATGTTTGAATAATTCCGGCTAGCTTGATGATGTACTGATCAACAGTAGTCATTTTTGCCATTTTTGCTGATGACTGAAAGAAGAAAGAATAGGGCACAACACGCGCTGAAGGCACAGACTTGGTAAAGTCATGAGTACTGATATCTGTCCCTTTGTATCTAAAGTTGAGTTCTTGACTTCCGTTGATCGGTTCGATCTTTATTCTTTTTGCTGAACTATGTAGATCGTCTTGCCTATGTCGAGCTCTTGGGTTCTTCTCGGCTTCTCGTGACATACGTATCCCCATTTCGTTCATGGCAGTAGGAATGTCTTCCGGGGCGGTGAAAGTGAACCTATTCACCTCGATAGCTTCTGGTTCTACTTTGGCAGTGGATGAAGTAGCTTCACTGGGCAGGTTCCTGAGCAAGGGAACCATTCCATATACAGATAGCCGTCCCCAGAGGAGAGATGTCAACAAAATCAAGCGTAAGAATGACTCCATCTTGTATGTTCTTTCAGAGGAATTCGTAGAGTGACAGTTGACGACTGAGGCTTGTTGGCAGCGGCCTTTTATGTCACTCCAGTTCCTAGAGTGTGTTTACTGTGAATGTGACCATGTCTCATTGCGATGTCAATGCGGAATCGCTGCGGTGGGCCTCAACACGAGTTTTCACACTGCGCCTCCACGCATCGCAGTGCGAGCCGCCTGTTTATGATGGGAGACGTTGTAAATATGACGCTCGTGCTTGGGATCAGCGTTTAGATACTACAGATGCGAAATCGTGATGTGTCTCATGGAAATATTCAGCAGTCATCTTCAGATTCATGTGATGGTGTAGGTGTAACAATGTTAACAATTGCATGTCTCAAATTATGCCTTGGATATTGCAGCCTATAAACTATCATGGCATAGACCTTGTCACTGTCAGCCTCTTATCTTTCAATGATACTCAGCAATTGTTGAGGTGTGATATGAACTTGACTCATTCTGAATATATTTGCTCATCACTCGAAGTGAAAATATATCTTGTCTGGAGAATGGAATCTTCTTGGTCAATAAGGTATATCAATCATGATCATCCATTGACAAAATTTTGATCAAGACAATCAACTGCATTTTTGAAAAACCAAGAGGAAGACAATGCTCTATAAACCTAAATAACGTATCACTATCGGAATGTAACATACAAGATCCCGCGATGACATTGAAGTTGCCGATATTATACATTTTATGATGAAGATATAGATAAAGACTGGACCAAAGCACACTTTTTTTTGAAAACAGTTCGTCGAAAAAGATTCAACGCATCATTCTAGAACGAACTCGCCTTTGCGAGTCTGAAGTTAAAGACCATTCACAAATCATACAAAAATCCTCAGTGTCAATACTTCATCAATCTTTCAAGAAGACCTAACTTGACTCACTCAATAAACCTAAGCCAGCTCTAAGACCACAATGTTGTGCAGGAACGCCTGTACCCATCAATCCAGGTCCGACAATTCTAGGTCTAGGTGGAATTTCACCTCTGCGTTCAGCATAATCTCTTCTGATATTGGCTTGACGAATAAGATGACGTGGTCTTAAACGATGATTTGAGATCCTTCTACCCATACCTAGTCCACCTATGCCCCACATAGGATATCGAGTTGCAAGACCAGATGAGAGACCATAATGAGGTTGACCTAAGATGCCTGCGCTAATTGCAGATCTACCAGATGCTGGTATCATGTTATGATATCCCAATGAATGATCTATCGGTACTCCACCAAGTTGTGATCCCCAATACGAACCTCCACCAAGTCCAAGTTGAGCACGTCTCATCAAACTCATCTGTTTCCATTGGTTTTCTCTTTCAAGATCATTTAATTCTTCCCATCTCATTCTTTCTTCCCATCTATTTAATCTTTCACGTTCAGATAATAATTGATCAGATCTTAACATAAGTTCGAATAGATAAAGGTCATCTAACATCGGACCATGTGATGGTTGAAATCCAGTGGGTGAAAGTCCATAAGATGATAAAGGTGGAACTCGACCGTAACCGTAATCATGATTGATACCATCGACAAATGGATCCATTCCAATCGTACTTCCCATTCCCATTCCCATTCCTGCTCCGTATCCTAAACTTGCCCCGTGCCCTAGACCCACTCCGTATCCCATGTCCGTACCATATCCTAATCCAGTTCCATATCCCATACCTTCCATACCCATACCACTTGAGCCTCCAAGTCCACCATATCCCATAAAAGCATCTTGATCATAATATGGTAAATGACGAGGTAAAACATCATGCATTCGATTGTAATAAGTATCGACTAATGGAGGATTATATCCATGTAAATCCAAATCATGATGATGAAGATGATCTCGGGTCAAAGGAGGATGTGAGCCTATACCTGTCAGAGTATCTAAAAATCCATCAAAATATTAAATTTTGTTTAGGTTTGTGATCTGTTTGTTTATGAAGGAGATGAACGGAGAGAGACGAACTAGATGATGATGAATGTAGGACGCGTTTTTTGATGAAGTCGATTAGTAATTGATTTATTGGAAAATGAATATCAAAATGTTGTACACAGTGTAAAAGTGGTGGTAGGGAAAATCGAAAGGAAACGTACCTCCCAAATGTGAAGAAGGGTGATCAAACCTTTCATGATAATCTAAATCATTCATCAAACCATCTGAATGATGATAACCTAGATTATTTCCGAAATCACCATGATGAGACAAAAGTGGATCTCGATGATAATCTCCTCCATGGAATCGAGTTTGTCTGGGATGATGATCATACGTTTCGTCTTCTGCTAAAAGATCAAGATCACGGAAAGATTCAGGATACGCATGGTTCTCAAACGTGTTGAGTGGATCTGTGAAACAAATGAGCAGTTAGTGAGTTTGTTTTCTTCATACGCATTGATAGGCAAAAGGTTAAATGATGCATAAAGAATCACCATGATGATTCAATCGTTCTGCGTAGTGTGTCATGGTTAATTTATGAGGAAATTGAAGCAAGGAAATATGTGTAAAGGAATATGAAGGTGCAATCTAGTGGTGCAATATACAATATGGACGAGAAGAAATGTGAGTTTATATAACTCGGATCGATTACATAAGCCGATAAATGGATGATCTTGAAAAAATCTTTCAACTTAGCCAAAGTTCCACGGCTCGGGTTGCGAGCGACAGTGTGGGAGTTGGCTTGTAACTCTAAACAATCCTCGAGGCTCGATGATGAAATGAAAGTCAATCGTTTGATGATCTCATTCAGTTTGATTCATGTTCATCCCATTCATTTGATCGCAACTTCACAACCTATCAAACTTCAAACACAAACCTTTGACATGTGCCCGGATGTGGGTGGATGTGGGTGCAAAGTTTTTTTTGCTGTGCTTGAACAACATATACATAAGAGCATATGATATGATCAGGTTAAAGTTCAACTGAGAACTTGCATCAAGAAGTTTTAAAAGATCAACTACATAAATATCATTTTCTACGCATCAAATATCAAGATGAGACTCTGAGCAGCTTTGGTACACGTTCAACACATCAACCACATCAAGATTTCAAGTGCTCACTTGAATATGATAATGAGGTATCCAAAACTTAAAAAGCATCGAAGCCCATATATATGATACCCATTCTTGGGCTGGTTCGAATTAAAGAGCTTTCGAAAAGAAATTTAAGTCATTTGGTGAACGTGATGCCTTTTTACAAAGTGTCTTTATATCTGGCAATCCGCTTGATATTTGTGTTACAGGTCTCTAGAATAGAGAAGTTGACAGTGACTGCGCTTAAACTGGGCCAAAGTTACAGCTGGTTTTCTCAAAAATGGTTCTGGCGATGATTCGGATGAGTCACTATAAGCTTTGGAGCTCCTTGGAGCCACCCAAAGAAATGGCACTGTGGTGCCCATGGTACTATTCGCTCAAAAATGTCGAAAACTGCAATGAATGAGACTTTAATTCCCTGAGATATCCTTATATCCATGTACGCCCTGCCCCAAATTGAGCACATCCTTTGATAACCCCCACGTAGCGCCTTGGTGGATGAAGGAAGAAGCGGTCCTGCAAGAAGGGTTCAGCCTTTGAATGGTTTGATTATTACGGCATACACACATTTGGCTTCACTAACAAACATGAAGGCTTTCAAATCCCTTCAAGTTCTTTATTGGATTGTCCAGAACTGCTAAGTCATAGCAAAGGAGAATTACCTGCTTTCTCATCTTGATACTTTGGAGGGCAGGCTCCATCACAATCGACTTTTCATCAGCCTCCCCTTTCTTGTCACACGTTGATTTGCTCTCCGCAAGCATCGATAAACGCTTCATCACCTTTGTCCCTGTCCTTCTCTTACTTTTCTCATCAACATGTTCTATCGATGTCCTCTCAAGGTCGCTGTGCTGGTGTCTACCTTTTGTCTTAGCGCACACATTGTACAATCAGGATTGACAGTCGCCTGCACTGGTGGATTGACAAATGTCATTCCGTGGGCGGGGGACCCCGTTAGTATGTTGCGCTTTTGAGTTATCTTTGAACGTGATTCATCAAACAATCTAACTGAATATGTCTCTACTAAAATTGGTAGTCTGCGTCGTAGGTGATCATCAAAAGGAATAACATTCATGCAGGTACAATAGCTGTTCATGTAACGGTAGGTATTTATTGATATACAAACTCATTGTCTGATGACCAGATCTCATAATAAAGCAAACTTTTGAATCTTAATTTCATGAATGAAAACCTAGGTATCAAATGGGTTGAAATGGACACCTGTCGAGTGACAGGCGCACCCTCCACCACCCTGGCATAAGCAAGCAACAATGCTCGGACTATATTTGGGCGGGTGCCGACAGTGGCACATATAGTGTGTAGCCATTCTCTGATCAGTATCCTGTTTCTCTTTGCTTACTCCAGCCTTTTTGTACTTTGACATTGGGCTCAAACTATTCAGCTTGTACCAATGCCGGTGGCGGAATGTATGACTGCTACGGTCTGAACATACACAATGTCCCTTTCATGAGTTAGTCAACTGCACAGCGCTCTGCAATCCCTCAACCACTGACAAGAGAACTTTGTCCTTTTCAGCGTGTACTGATTGCAACCCGGCATAGTAAATCTGAAGCGTCTTGCAATCACATTTCACAAAGCCTCATTTGATATAACATCTAAAGGCGTGTCCTTCTACCACTGAAGGGCATTCAACATTGTCTGGTTTTTTATCTTGAACTGCTGATCCCTTCCAAAAATTGTAGCTGATAGGGATCAGACAATTTTTGAGATACCAACCTACCAGACACCTTTATACAAGTCAGTGAAAGACAGATTTCACTAAAACCTACACTATATTGGTGGCTCAAGGTTTGATTTTGCATGATTTTTCTGTCTTTTTGGGTACCATTGGTGAAAGGTAAGAAATAATTTATTTTGATGCTCAATGACAAGTCTCTTACTTTCTTGTATATCACAGTGTCAATGGGGTTGGAATTGCTTCAGATTGAACAAGAAAACTTTCCGCCAAAAAACTTTTTCTCCTTCTAAAATCTCTTGAAACTTTGAAGGGTTTGATCTTCAGAGGTGGATGAAGAGAGGACCATGGAAATTGCTTCAGGAGAACTACCAATGGGTGAGCATACCAGCATTGCCCTTTGACTCTGAGGGTATCTGCTGGTACAGGCAGATGATTACAAGATAGTGATACATGGTCTCACTTTTCTAGAGCAACTAGATGTACCGAGCAATGGCATTGTGAGCCAATTTTGAAAAAAGTGTGTTCCAAAAGTTTGGCCTCAGAGAGGGCCGGTCACACATCCATTTTTTTAAACTGGGCATTCAATTTTATTTCCAGTTTCATAATTTAGCTGTGCCTCACATTAATATAGATCTGAACCCCCAGAAATTCAGGAAAAAGAAATCCTTGCAAAGCACATCCACAGATCAAGCAGCTCCACAATATGAAGTGCAATAGGTTTGTTTGATTAATTTGGATGAAAAGACCTGTGCAAAAAAACCGCCAGGGAAGGTGAGCATGAAACACAGACAATGAATTGCTTATGATTTGCTTTTCATCACAGTATTGTCAGTAATCACAACCTCGCACATACTTCAATACACTCATATAACAAATCATGTACCATCTCATAAGCTGGGTACTTGTCAAGTTCCCTCGCCTGGCGCACACAGGCACACACACACCCTGAGTAAGACCAAGACCCACCCCACAGGGTCTGCAACCCCTAGATTTGTGCCCCCTGTAGCCCATGTTATGGCTCATCTTGTGCCCACATCACATATATGTTACTACACTCCATGTTTTAACAAGATATCATTGTTATCAAACCCATGACCTATGATTCAGCTCTCTCTGAACTTTTGGATTTTTCATCAGCAAACGTCTTTGAAGTATTTATCATAGAATGTATCTGAAGATAACTTGGAGAGTGTGGGTACTTTTAAGCTATTGGGAAGAGGGTAACACTCTTCACTCTGTGTAAGCAATGTACAAAGGCTACATAATGGGAGCTTTATCAAGCTTTGACATCTCTGTGCTTCTTCAAATGACATCTCTGTGCTTCTTCAAATAACGCCCAGGTTATCTGTGTCACTTTCTGAATTATATATGCTAGATTCCTGGGATTATGAAAAATATGGGTAGCAACATGTTACGTAGCTCCAGCTAATGAGGATGAAATCCAGCATTTAATATTACACTGTAGCCTACTGATTTGCATCCACTTCTGAGTCAATCATGGACCTATGTTCACCTGATTGATACATTGCCTGGTCTGCTAAGGTAGCCTGGAACTTGGACTCAAGAGCTACAGTTGACTCTATCTGAATACATAGCCATATATAGGCTTAAATATCTCAAGGCATCTTTCCGCTGCCATTTTTGGCGGCAGCCAAAATCCTGGTTAAAGGCATAAAATCCTCTCAACTCTCAAGGCATACAATTTTGGGCTGAACCCAAGTTTCTTGAAGTCATAAATTCTGGCCTAGGATGTGGTCTGAGCCTATCAAAAGACCTCACTGAGGTATCTGTCAGGTTCTCTTTTGGATCTGGGTGCTGGTCTGGTCCTTGAACCCCCAGCTGTTGGGGAAAATTTTACAACGTGGCTTGGTGTATATATATGTGCATAGGTTCATGCCATTTGAAGGAGTGTTTGCCAAAGTGCATAAACCTCTAAAGGTTTGGCAAATCCCACCACCAAACTCTATCCCTTGAGAGGAAGTCGGCTGTACAATGATCAACACAGCTGTTTACTAGCTCTGATAGCAATTACAAATTATTCATTAATTCATACATGTGTAGTATAGGGGTACCCATAAATGCACCCTTCATACCTAACTCATTGTCAATGCGATATGGCCAGGGACTGAGACAAATAAAACATGTCTTGTCAAGTGTCTCTAGCATGGTGAGGAACTGGGATAATCATTTTTGGATCTCACAGAAATGCATTTTGGTGGCACATGGAGCTAAGTGATAGGATTTGTAGGATTTAGGATTTCAGATGTTGAACAATAATTATAGAAAGGGTGTGTGCAAGAACTGCACCAGCAGAAAAAATATGCAAATAGAGCATATGTATGACATTACTCATGACTGTGTGGGCTGTCATGTGATAACAATCTTTGAAGAAAAGGGGTGTAGGAACATGGTTCCTTAATGTAGATTGGGAACATTCCCAAGCTTCTGCGGAAGGCCCTATGCTCTGAGATTCACTGTTGTTATGTTCTCCTGCAGAGTCCTTTGCATAATCCATGATAAGTCACAGATATTAGGTGTGTGGGTTATTAGGAAGAATTATAGAGAGTCTTGGTCAGCTTCTAACCCAACATCCCACTGAGCCAAACAAGTAGATTTTGTAAATTTGAAGCTGGACCACATCCTGACCCCAGACTGGCCCCACATCTGGCTGTTTTGCAAATTTTCAGGCATTTCCACCAGATGCCTGGTGTACAACTCCTACACTGTGTGGCGGCTGAGCCGGAGAGGGGAAAAGATCACCACTGACTACGTGCATCAATTTGCCCTCAGCCTAAAATACAAATTGCCACACACCCATAGGGGCATTCTGGGTTCTGCTGCAAGTCCCTCTCTTGATACAGGATTTTATCAGGTTAGGGTAAGCCCCAAAATACACACATGGGGACATGTTGGCTGCACCAGGATATCAGTAAGCCCTTGTCACTCTCATAACACAGAATCTCATGTTGGTGTCTAAGGGCCCGTTCGGCTGGTTTTCCAAAAATCTGTTACACAAAAACAATTTTTCAATCTGCCCCTTTTTCGAGGGGCGGATTGAAAAACTCGGAATTTGGCTTTTTTGTTGACCAAACAGTCAACCAAATAGGTCAACAAAAGATCGAAATGGAGGGGCAAACAGGGCAAAAACACTTTTTGGTCTCAAAAACAGCCTCAGGGCTGTTTTTCAAAATTGAAGATTTTTTGATCAAAAACCGTTTTTACCTCAAACTCCCCTGGCAATTTTACTCCACTCACAACACATATGGCAGGTGTTCCCAAAGCTAGCGAGGGTACACCTGAGTCCATTTCTGAGGGCGCAAGTGAGTGGCAGGACAGGGCACGCACAGGGCGTGGGCGTGCACGAGGCTTGACCAAAATAATTTGGTCAAAGAGAAGCGTGGCTGAATTAGGAGAGAAAAATTTTCATCTCCCACGCTTCTAGCTCAACAGCACACTCCCAGATCCTGCTCACCGCTTCTAGACGCCCGGTTTTCTTCTCTTCTTTCAAAAGCTTTCCTCCACCACATACCACTTACAAGGAACATAGTCCCTGAAGAAGTATAGTAAAATTTGAAGAGTTCTTTCAAAAAAAAAAAAAAAAAGAGAAGAAAGTACAAATATATATATTTACAGAAAGTGAAAGATGGTCAAGAAGCAAGAAAAGATACCCCTAGAAAACCAAATGACAACTAGAACGGGGTCCAAGCCGGCGCAGATAGGAAACCACGCGGAACCTAGGAATGAGAGTGAAGACGCACTCATTGAGCGAGATACGTCGCTGGTTGAAGACGACGGAGACGAGGGGAACAGTCCAGCAGAAGCATGCGGTGAAGATGATGGAGGAGAAGTCCATGGCGATGCATTGAAAGATGGGAAGCCGCCACCGGATAGAGAACCAATTAAGGTTACCCTCAAGAACATCAAGTTCCGGAAGATGGCACCGCCTGATCCTCCTCCACCATCCTCAGGAGACTCGTCTCCAGACTCGAGCGATAGTGATTCTTCGGAGCTTTTGTCTGATGCAGAGGAGGATTCGGATGACACGGAAATTTGTAAGCTTGACTTCGCATCAAGGAAATTTTCCATGGGTTGTAAAGCCAGAAACAACACCAAACCTCCTCACATGAGTTGAGATTCCCCACAGAGTTGCGAGAGCACTCCACCATGTTGGTGTATGGGAGACCCGAAAGGGTTGAGTCCAGGTCGACAGATCGTGTAGACGTTAAATAATTATCACTATATCCCCGAAGAGAGAAGTCGCTCGATCAGATGCTGACTACGTTGAAATCTACGTGTTCAATTTTCGTACCTCAGATCCCATTCCAACTGAAGCCTTGTCAAAACGACGGCAGGCAGGGGTGAAGAAGAAGTCCAAATCCGAAGGGAAAACCTCGGAACGGATAGCGTGGCTAGAGGAAATCGTGCACGAAATTGATCGCGGTCACGTGAACAGGGTGAAGAAGTTGAAGAAGAGATTCTACGAGAAGTATGGCGAATTTGGCCCAAAACCCACCTCAAAAGACAATAAGAGGAAGGGAAAGGGGAAAACGCCAAAGAAGTCGTCAGGAAAGTCTAAACGGAAAAAGATGAAAGGAAAGTCCGAGAAAAAGAAGAAGAGAAAATACAAACCCTCTTCAGACTCCTCATCGTCATCCTCGAGCTCAGACTCAGATGACCATCCGGGAAAGATCCAATCGGACTCAGACTCCTCGTCCTCTTCATCTTCGGAAGATTCGGACTCCGACTCGTCAGACTCTGACTCATCGTCGTACTCCAGCGGCAAAAAGTCGAAATCTAAGAAGGTCAAGTTTAACTCCTCCAAGATCAGAGCGTTTGACCTCCCCAACTTACCAAAGAGATGGGCGAAAAACTTCAAGCGGATGAACGCCTACGTACCCCTGTCCGTATTCCTTAGAGAAAGCGTCGACTGCCTTGGAACCTCAGACCCTAGCCTACTGAGCTCGTCCAATTCTAAATCAGTGATCTATGCAGAACTGAATCGGGACAAGCTGATGGATTTTGGTGAATTCATCGAGGCGAGTAACCTCGAAGCGAGGTATGCGGGTGAACTCTATGGCCACACCGAGTACGCGAAGTGGATTCCGAAACACGTGAAGATCGTAACTAAGATGGGAGAAAGGTGGAACTGCTGGTTAGTGGCCCTCAGATACCATTTGTTTATCCGCACCTCGATATTTAGACACCAGCTAGTAGATCAAGCGGGTGATAAGCGGAAGAAGAACAAGAAACAGGAGATGTGTGTAGTCTTACCAGACGGCCTAGACACGCAAATCAAAAACCTAGCGAGATTCCACGCGGACAAAGCAGGAGACTTGGCCTACATGTCAGGAAACCCTTACGCGGAAGGAGGTCCGAAAGCGGGTTGGAACTTCAGGACGGGGAAGGAAGCTCCAGATAAGATGGGCTCTTGGCATCGGAAGTCCAACTCGTCTGAACAGAAATCATCCAACGCCTCTGATCACTGGAAGAAGAGGCGCGGCAGGGGAAAAGGACAGAGGCCTCAGTACCAAAACGAGTTTCAGCCAGCGAGTAGTGGCAACACCTCATACCAGAAACCGACCCAACCCACCCGTGAGTTCGATAATGCTGAGCATGGGAGGTAAAAGTCTGATGATTGACTTTCCATGGACGTCCTTTAGACTCAACGTCGGCGTCGGAACAGACCCAACCAGCACAAGGCCCATCATCGGGTCCAGGCACGAAAGTAGCCTATGCTGCACAAAAAGCGGCACAGAACACATCCAAGTGAGTGAAGAACCTTGACGTAGCGGTGGGGGAACGGAACTGACATTGGTTACCATAATTTACCCATCCTTGGCACTTGCTGCGAAATCGAATTGCTGTGTGATTTTTCCTTTGATGGGAATCGGGGGGGGGTCTAACTAAATTTGCTATTTCTGCCTTGAACTTGTTGTAATGGTACGCGCTAGAAAATAAATTCCCACTCCTGAAATGATAAAGAAGGACAAGGGTCTAAATGCCATGGCTACCTTTGTATCCACTTGTAGATTGTGAAACGTAATGCGCACCCTCCTAACTGACCCTGTAGTAGCTCTTGGAGAGATTCCTGAGGGAGTCATCCGGGAAACAGAGAGTTTGATATCACATAGCTCAGACTCAGATGGAGAAACTGAACCGAAAGGGAGGACGGCCAAGAAGAAAATCTTACCGTTAAGTCAACGAGTCCTGTACATCGTAGAGGTGAAAACCTATTGGCCAGCGAAAGTAGGCTGCAACATGAACATACCGATGTGGGACAAATTGATGAGAGAGGTAGCTCTGGAGGACGACATACCGTATATTGTTAACGGTTTTTCTCATGGTTTTTGCCTGGGGATACCCCAGCACGACTTAGAAGGGATGGACTGGTACACACCTCCTAACCACAAGTCAGCTCTCGACGCTCGAGACGACATTGAAGCGACGATATGGAAGGAGAAGCAAGCAGGCAGACTAGTCGGCCCTTTCACTAGGAACCAGGTGTTTGAGAAGCTTGGGTTTTTTAGGACGAACCCAATGGGGGGAGCCGTGAATGGAGACGGATCGATTTGGATGATAAACGACCTATCGTTTCCTAAGGCGGATCCAAAAATTCCTTCAGTAAACTCATTTGTAGATAAACACAATTATGGGACACAATGGAACGATTTCAACACGGTGGCTTTATTTTTGCAAGAAAACCCAGGAGAGTGGGAGGTAGCGATCTTTGACTGGGCCAAGGCCTACAGACAAATACCACTACACCCTTGCCAAAGAAGGTTCCTATGCATCCTCGACTTCTACAATAGGGTGTGGGTAGATCTAGCGGTGGGCTTTGGAGGCGTAGCCAGCTGCGGAGTATTTGGGGGCCCGGCTGACGTTTGGAAACTTATTGTATTGACGCTACTGGAACTGAAGGCAATATTCCGGTGGGTAGATGATAACCTACTGTTTAGAAGGCCGGAGGACAAAGTCACGCTGCAAGATGTAGCGGCATTAAGTGATGCGTTAGGAGTAATGTCAAACCCGAAGAAGAATCACGATTTTGCGATTGAACAAAGATACCTAGGTTTCATTTGGAACGCCAAAGATCACACAGTCAGGTTACCAGACGAGAAGTTGGAAGAAAGGAAACAAGTAATTCAAGACTTACTTGTTAGCGAGAAGACGTGGTCCTTCAAACAGATAGAGAGCTATTTAGGGAAACTGAGCCACACGGTCAATATAGTACCCCACATGGCGGCATATCTACGTTCCTTCTATCGGTGGTTGAAAAGCTGGGTGGAGAAGAACGCCGGAAGAAGGGTACCAGAAGATGTATGGGATGACCTCCTGGAGTGGAAAACATGCCTAGAGGAGTTTAACTCAAGGCCGTTGGTGACCTGCACCAATCCAATAGAGGTGGAGTGGGTCAATGACGCGTCCTCTTCATTCGGGTGAGTGGACTTACCGCGTATACTGACAGAGGGGAGTGGAACTGACCCAAAAGCTGCGACGCATCCAGAATCGGAGTGTTAGTAGGGGTACACTGGGCAAGCTTCAAATTCGTAGAGGACTGGAAGTCCTTGAATCTACAACAGGGATCTAGATCCATCGCTTGGGCGGAGACCGTCGTGGTGCGTCTAGGATTGCTAGTTTTGAGCAAGATTTCCCGAGTCGCAGGGAAAATGTTCTGGGTCGACACAGACAACACCACTACAGAGGCGGGGTTGAGAAAGAGAAAGTCGAAGGATGGTTTAGTGAATGATGAACTGAAACAAATTCAGAGGCTACTGACCAGATTAGGTTGCGATGTGAAACAGCGTCGGGTGATATCGGGAGACAATAAAGCCGACGGCCTATCCCGCGGAATTCTGGACGACGATCTTCTTTGGCACAACGAAGTCAGAATCGAAATACCACACGATCTACAGTTCATCCTTTATCAAATAACGCTGTCAAATGAGAAGAACGAAACCTTCTGAATCTAGGGAAGAGATCAATAGTGTAGAGGTGTCGGGAAGAAAGTTAAAATAACTTACGAAACCGTTTAACACCTTTAAAAGAAACGCTTTCGGAATTGATGGGTCGGATACAAATGAAGTACAACAACACTATTTAAGAGGCACCTGGGCGGATGGAACATTAAAGCATTATAATTCAGCGATAGTAAAACTGCATAGGTTCGCAAAAGTGAAAAAGATAAACCCGAAAGAACTCTTACCAATCTCGAGTGATGTGATGAAGCAATTTGTAATTTGGGGGTCAAAGAAGCTAGAGAACGTGGCAGCGGAAGACGAGTCGGTGTCATCGAGAACTCTGCGAGCTTATATAGCCGGGATTAAGGCCTGGCATTTATTCCACAACGTCGATTACCCAGTGAAGGTAGACACAGCGGTCGCAAATCTGTTAAAGGCGTCGAGGATGATCGAAGCGGAATTCAAAGAGAAGGAGAAACGTAGACCACCAGTGATGGTCTCAGACTTGCTGGTCCTATGCGAAGAACTCCTAAAGGATGGTGAAAGAGGGTTAGCGACTCTAGCTCTGGCGTTGGTGGCCTTTTGGGGCACCGCACGGTTGGGAGAGTTGATCGCAAATAACTCGACAAACCATTTGCCCAGATGGGAGGACGTAGTTTGGGGGAAAAACAACCGGAACTTACGTATTAACTTGAGAAACGCCAAGACGGCGAAACCCGGAGAGATCCAACAATTACACGTCCAAGAACAAGTTTCTATTCTAAACCCAGTGAAGGCTTTACTGAACCTGTTCAACTATTGGGAACGAAATCAGTCACTGCAGACATTATTCGGGTTCCCCAAGTGGGCAGGGAAAAATGATTGGGAGTATGATTTGTCATAAAATGGTCTATCACTCCACACCTGAGCCATAACACCCACACTACATATGTGTAGCAGGCTCAGTGAATATGTGGTTATCATGTACATACAGTTCTGCTCAGTTATCTGCTCATCAGGACAAGTTATTCATATGTAATACATGCTGTAACTTCTTTCAGATTGAAAAAAGCTTCCAAAAGATTACTACATACACTGACTCAATGTTTTGGTGTGATCTCATCAACTCAACTGCATGTAACACACTTTCTGTTACTAAGACATAGCTTCAACAATATTGCCTGAGCAGCTACAGAATTATATGTAGTGAATTTTTGGGAAAAAAATTTCAAAGTCGAAAAAGTTACATGTTGTATAACATGTGATTTATTTATTCTGATGGGCAAAAAACTGAGCAGAACTGTATGTACATGATAGACAACTATTGACTTAGCTTGCTGCACATATGTAGTGTGGGTGAAATGGCCCAGGTGTGCAGTATTAGATTCTTTTATGAAAAACTGTACTATTAATCATTTTCCTCTGCCAAATTGGGGAAGTTGAATGATGTTTACAGTGAGTCAGACGAGATTTTCTCTATAATGGTAGACGGGAAACGGAAGACACTCAAGAAAACGGAAACCATCACTTACTTGAGAACGGTGTGGAACAAACATCGGCCGAAGTCAAAGCAGTTGCTATTTGGGCACTTGTTTAGGATTGGTGGGGCCTCTTTGAGATGGAACCTTGGAGCCTCGAAGGAATCCCTAAAAGTCAGCGGTAGATGGACATCGGACGCTTACAAGATATATTTGAGGAAGTATTCTGATAGAGAGCTGGCGAAGTCGAAGAACACCTTGAAAGAGTTGAAAGAAAGGAATAGATCGACGTGAGTAGATCAAGTTCCCGATTGGGCTTAAAGTTTGAGGCGGGAGTTATTTCAAGCGCGGCGATCGAGGCATCGTCAGTACAGTCGACTACCGTAGATCAGTACTTTAATGTATTTAGTTCAGTAGAGGGTTCAGGTGATGAAGGACCGGGGATATGTGTTACAGGGAGTCAATAGAATTTCTCGTTTGAAGACAATTCACTCACGTAGTCGCGAGTAAGGGGGCTTCTCAGGGCTCACGGCTCGTAGCCTACGTGAGTTTGGGGGCTGAGAAGCCCGCGTCTCCAAGAGGTCCTGTTCTTGCTCCAGAGGGGCTACGGGTACAACAACCCATCTTATTGTTACCCGTATCTCCCTCTGGGGCCCTCCCCACACCACACTAAACAAACACCTAAATAATCTAGGTTAAGTCTACTGTGGTAGGACGGACCTAGAAGAGCCGTAAGTTTCTTAAGCAGGAACCTGCTAAGGAGGTTACACTGAACTGTTCTGGTCTTAAAAGACCGAGCAACAGAGAGAAATGGATGATGCACCAATAGAGGAACATGAAAGTTCAACAGCCTCAGGACATCAGGGAATTACTTATTATATTGACAGGGTGTACAGGAATTTATTACAAATGCACTACACCAGGGGGTAATGGTCCTCGGCCTCGGCCGGTTCCTGTGACGATTTCAAAGGTTTCGTCACCTGAACCGCCCAGGAAGGTGTGGAACCGGTTTTGCCAAAACCGATTCGGACACCGTTCCACCACCGCTTCTGGAACGAGCCGCATGTCAGCAACCGTTTGAGAACGGCTCCTGAGGCGGTGGTGAAGCGGTTTTTTTGACACCAATTGCAATCGGTGTCGAACTACCTTCAACAATATTTTATTTTTCAGTTTGGAGTATGGTATGTACCCGTCATCCTTCCACACGGACAATCTCGCTAATGACAAATAATGACAAAGTGTCAAGAATTGACCTGGGAAGGCACATAAACTTGTCCTATTCCATGGTTTACTCATCTCATGATTTTATGCGCATTTTTTTTATTAGGGGTTGGATGGAATGGAAGTTTTACTATTCTCAACTCTTGCACCCTTTTTATTATGTTTACCATTACTTCGAACACTACTTTTAAGATTATCACCCATTCTTCAAATCCTTATGAGGTCGAGTGCCTGGTGTTTAATCACTACGCACAAGCCAAGGCGTGAGTTATCTGTCTTGATCTATGAAACTTGAAGATATGATTATTGAGGTTACCGTAAAATGTGTCTGATGCATTCACCAGACATGATATTAAGGTCGGCTTATCTTTCAATCGCTATCAATAAACACACACCATTGATGGCTGATACATTTCGTGTTTTCAGATCAATACTCTCGGTCTACTGTTTGCTCAACTTGAGCTTAATTTTAACCTCATGAGGGCTACTCACCATTCTATAGTGTCTTCACTTGGCCTAGAGATGATAAAATTATAGCTAAGATGAAAGCTGAAAAAGGAGATCTTGCTCGAACACTTTGTAATCATATGTCAAACGGACCGTCTAATTCTTCGGTACAAATTCTCTTTCCGATTCCAGCATTGATGATAACATGACTTACCTACCACCACGCTATCTGACCCCATCAAATGGTACTAGCAGTGTGGTCTTTATGGTGTAGTGGTGAATCGCTCTGTGGCCTTGATTATGACCTTTTGTGGGTTTTGAGCCTGGGTTCAAGCCCCATTGCTTGATTTTCTTTTGGCAAATTTACGGCGTACCCTCGGAACGTCCCTGGGACCGTGTTTAGGGGTCACCGAGGTGGTTTGCTTGCACCGCCAAAAATGGTGATGGGAACCGCGTTTGTGCGGTCCCATCTGAAATCGTCTCAGAAACGACACGAATAGTTCAAAACCGTGACGGCAGGAAAACGGGTTCGAAAACCGTTTTCTTGCCGTAGGTTTACCCCCTGGTGTACATACATAGCTTGCGTATTTTATTATGCAGTGAATCCAAACGGCCCGGGGCGCTCGGCGGATCTAGCGCAGATATAATTATCATTCAAAGAGTACCAAGACACCCTAAGCACCGTAACTCATGTGGATCAGTGTTCAAGTGAGTTTTGGCCGCTTGGTATCACCACCGCAATATCATTATTTGGGTGGCTGGCCTGACCCCGGAAGCGTCTTTTCAGGTGGTTTTGAGGGTGCGGCGCTCGGGCCGTTCGGGGGCGCAGAGGTCGAGTTCTTCCGATTGGCATTGATTGTGGTCCCATTGCTGCTGAGTTCCATTTTTTCTAGCAGTTCTGACATCTTGCTTTTGGGCTGGTCGACCTTTTTGTGCGGCTTTCCATCTCCTGCACGTGTTACTAACCTGAGTCCCAGGTTCCGCAGAAACAAAAAAACACAGAATAATAGTAAGTTGAAAATCGGCTCGAAAAAGGTCTTTCTTGACTTACTGAGGTTTAGAAGTAGTCTGGCAAGTCAAAATTAACAATGAACAAAATAAGAATATTCCTAACTTCATCTCGAGGGTTGCGGAAAGTTGCTTGGATTAAAACGCGGTGAGGTGGAGATGTTCTTATTTACAGTCCTGGCTTTAGGTTGCGTGCTCGATATGTACAAGATATATGTACAGAATATGTTTGGTTTTTAGTAACGAAAAGAGTCTCTGAATGCAAAGGATGATGTTAAAGGTAAAGATTAATGGTGAAGATTAATGGTAAAGATTAATGGCAAAGATTAATGGTCCAGAGTTGGCGAGACTGACGGGGTGCGGTGAGCCACACCTTCACAGGATTTTGTTCAACCAAATATGCGCGCGGCGAACGTTGCGAGCGTGGCTCCCTAGGATATATTACCGCCAACAAGCATTCAACGAAAAAACCTTGGGTATCACATATGTATTGAAGTCTTTCTAGCGTACTCAACTTGCCACGAAAGGGTCTCTTTGAGGCTGAGCAAAGTGAGCAACCAGTGGGAAAGACGGCGTCACACATGAAGATGTTTGAAAACGCTGTTTGTGTCCATTTTCGCATTAATGTACCCGCAGAATCGTTCCTCTTCGGAAGCATATGTAGGAAAACAACACTCACAAAACCGAAGATCACAAATAATATCGTCTCGCTTGCTGCGTACTGGGATCGCCCAAAACTCAAGAGACTTTTGCCGGCAACGCCAATTCGACTCTGTCTACACCCCTGCGCGCTCAAGTTTAATTATCTGTCAGGGCATCCACATCTATCTTCAGGGACAGGGTGTCAAACGACGAGAGTTGTACGTGATCTCTCGGGTAAATTACAGAAAACGATTTGTTCTGCCTGTTTTCCTCGACCCAATGCGAGTTTATCCAGAATGTGTTCTCCTGCCGCCATATTATAATGAAATGGAATTGCCCTTCTAAGCCTCAAGACGATCACACAGAAGTGTGGTACCTGAGTTATTTCAGCTCCGTCTGCAAATGCATCCAATTGCAAAGGTATATACGTACACGAGTTGTGAATCTTGAGCGAGGTTCTGACAAACTGGCTTAAAAATTGAAAGAAAACCCCACCCCTATCAGGAGCAAAGATATATGAAAAATTGAATAACAAAGCATTTCTCAATGTGTGCTACAAATTCACAAACAGGTCCTGTGGGCCGAATTTCAGAAAATCCTATGCACTTCAGCTTTGTCTATCACGAGTATCAAAGTCAATGTATTCAACCACTTTATGCATCGAAGGAATTTTGTAGTCGGAATCGGGAAAAAGTCTGATGAAATTGTGATACTGTTGGTTTGTATTACTGACGCCTGGGCGATAGTACTTAGGAGATTGAAAGTTGGACAAAATTGCATTCATTTTATACATCATCATATTTTTAATTTAAACACATTCACTAGAGTTAAAGATACAACATTGTTTACATTTCGTCTCTCTTACTTAACAAATTTGAGTTGGCAAAAAAGAAAAGAAAGACAGAATTGGGTGACGTCTTTTTTGTGAAAAGTATTTTGCCACAGTTACTTGTACCAAGAGATTAAAAAATTTCGGTCAAAATGCGAGTGAAATCAATGCAAACGAGCTTTGAACAATTCAAGACGCCATCATTTTTTCCATTTGATACCTGAGAGTTTATCAATCACATACCGAAATAGTTAGTGACGAGGGCAAATATGTGATGGGTATCTTTTCAACTTACAACGGTGGGAGTGGTTGAACGCGTTGTCGCAAGATGTACTTCCTGATGTGGAACATCGTATTGCGTGCCTGATATGCAGCATGTTTTCCAGTAGGGACGGAAAATACTACCACCGAGTAATGATGTTAGTTAAGAATCCAGCGGTCAAGGTCCAGATAATTGAGAGAAAATTTTTACCTAAGTCCAGCTCTTCGAGAGTGAGCGCTTTGGTTTCGGGTCTAAGGTGTTCAAAGAGGGGATCAGTAAATAGTGAGAAGTGTTGTAAGTAGAAACTGGCGCCTACAGGAAGAATAACACCAGCACCCAACCGATGCAACACCACCCCGCTGAGGAAGAACGACTTGATAAATAACTTTGTCAATCAGAATAGAGTTATTAAATTGTAGCATACCATACCATCCGAAAGCGCCTTGCGGTTTGAATGCGTTGAGGAGCAAAGGAAATGTGATGGCCAACACGAAGCTGGAAGCCGAACGCTTGAATTTAGCATCTGGCAGGAAAGAATTCATTGAGTGAAGACTGGTTGACTGACTTGAAGAACCAACAAACAGCGGTAGCGTAGGACATTCCAAAGTCTCGGATGTACAAAGGGAATGCTTCGGCACTGTTTAAGTATTGATCAGATATTAGCCGGAAACACGAAAATTAATTGAGAATTGCAAAGTCCTACCTGTATGTGAACGGCACAGGCTATCGTACGAAAAGAGCAAAAGGTGATAATGCATTAGTGGTCAAAATCTCCTCATAATGTAGGAGCTGAATCGCAGCTTCGTAATTGTACATACCCCCTCTCCTGGGCTGTAAAATGCCATGTACAGGTAGATAGCCGCGGCCACCACTGAGACTCGACGATGATCGTCTGGCCCATCTTGAGGGATGTAGAAAGCCATTCCAGTCGCCAGTAGACATACGGCCATGGCCGGGAAAGTCACCAATAACAAGTTACGTCTTCCGAAAGTCTGAAGCATGGAGTGTCAATATCGGTAAGTACTATTACTAGGGTGAAGTTAAATTGTGAACTGACATCGATTGTGTACAAGGCGGGTATGGCGAATATCCAATTGACGAGTCCGGTACCCATCGTGGTCAACAATGCTGCTTTGCGCTCAAAACCAGCTTCCACGAAGATTTGGCTAAAAAATCAAATCAAATGAGAGAGTTGAGCGAGCCGAGTACAAAGGCGATCTACTTACGAACTGTAGTACGCGATGACCTGGGATTTTCAGACACGCAAAGGTTAGTCTTTGGCTGATTGCAGGGCAATAAAAGATGAAGGGGTGACTCACATTGACACCACAAAACTGCTGCATAAACATCACCAAGCCTAAAATGGGAAGAAGATGATTGTGACTTTCAGTTACTGAATGATGAACAGGTTAAGAGGTTTGTTGTACCTGATGCTTGGGCTAATCGTATGATCGCAATGGGTTTGAAAGTTCACGTGGTATGCAACAAGTTAGTACTTTTCTTTCACGGTGTGGGGCGTTCGAATGCTGACCTGCACGTCGCACTCTGGGAACTCTCCACATATCAGTGAGTAAGTTCCGACCTTCTGTCTGGGCCTTTTCCAATGACAAAAGCTCGGCCATGTAATAGAGGTCGCGGGCAGCTTGAAGATCACAATACCTGAGTCGCTGCATGGATCCGTATGCATCGGCTACGCGGCCTTTTGACATATACCATCTTGGCGATTCTGGCGCGTAGAAAATCATACCGCAAACGATGATGGGTGCGACAACGGTGGAGCCCAGCATTAAACTGTTGCGATATTGTAGCCATAAATTGGTCAGAAGCGATAGCCTATACGGTAACATCTTCCAGCAAAAGAGTGAAGGGGCTCACCGCCATCCCAGATTAGGTGCTAAATCGACAAAGATAACTGAGACAATGTCACCAAGGGCAATGCCAAAGGCCTGTTGAATGACTGTCAGAAAGGCGTAGATCCGACCACGTGATGCTACAAATGACTTACAGTCCACTACAAGACATTGAAGACTGTGAGTATGAGGCTGAAGACACCTTGGAAGTTGAACGAAATGCGACTTACAACTTGCCACTGCATGACCAATGCACCTCTGATGGGGGCTGGAGCACATTCGGCTAAGGCGGCAATAAAATGTCAGGCTCCTGGTCCGAACATGAAATCAAGGATGAGTGATAATTGAGGGACTGACCAGTATAGACGGGGGCGGTGGCGGACTATTTGATGAGTTCATAGGAAAGTTGGCGTTAAAGTTGGTTTCTAAAGGAGATTGGTGCAAGTTGCGTACCTTGGGCCCGATCCCGAGTCCAAGAACGAGGCGAGCAGCGAACAACTGGGGCCAAGAGTACGTGAACCCCTCCCATATAGATGCGATGCCAGCAATGAAGCACGACAGGAATATCACACCCCGTCTGCCAAGAAGGCGATTGAGTGGGTCCGTCAACCAACAAGCGAAGACGGCCTGGGTGTGAAGCAAATGTTAATTGGACATTCTTTGGCGGAAGTACCAGAGCTACTCACACAACACAGATAAGGTGCGCTGTTGACCAATCCTTGAAGTAAGGCTGTCTTGTTGGTCCCGTCTGAAGAGATGCCGAACTCCTCCTGATAACCTAGCTGAGCCCCGTTCACTACGGACTTTTGTGAAGAACAGCGGGGATGCGTCAGTGATTTGCGAAATACAACAAGGGACACAAGACTCACTTCGTCCATTCCTTGTACAATGGCAGCCATGGAAGAGATGATAGCGACATAATAGCTGCATACAGTATATTCAGATTCGGATGATAAAGCCAAGATGCTGAGAGGATACCAACATTGTCCAGGGTTGTTTCCATCGATTTGTCTTTTCAGACTCAATCCATTTTCGTTCTTCGTCCGTGATGTCTGGAACTCGGTCGAGGTTATTTGGGTCGGCGGCCAACAACGCTGCACGAGTAAACATGCCCACTGAAGATCATGCCAATTCTTTTAGAAAAAGTACTATGAAGCAAATTGTTTGCATTGACATCAGAAAGCATGACATACCATGGTCATTGAGGTTATGGACTTCGCAAAAGTGTTGGGCATCCGACACCAACTCTTTGGCGGACTTTCCTGCTAGTGGGTTCTCTAGCTTGGCCGATAACTTCAATAGCTCATTCGGACTTGGATCTTCATAATCAGCCTTCTCGTTGACAGGGCTTGCGTGGTCGATCATCTCGGTACTGTGCTCGTTTTTGAAAGGTTGGATTTCGTTCATAGTACTACGGATTGTGAAGATTTTTGATTATAAGAAAGAGACAGGCGATGATGTTACTTGGAATTACTACGATGACAATACACAACGAGGACAAGGCAGGCAGTGAGAAAGTGGCGCAATCGATGGCCAACGTTTTATATAGCAAATTCAAGTCATAAAATTTTACAAATACGGGCCGGCCCGGCTCAGATTGAGCAACAAGCTGAGAGCAAAATGAAATCAGATGACCATTCGAATGGGGTACTAGCATGGCGATCAGGCTCAATCCGGCTGCAATAAGATCTGCCATAGACACAGGAAGGTAGAGATATGCACCAAATGAATCAACATTGAGCATCTTTTCATTGCTTTCCCCGCTTGGTTTTTTTCCGGAGGTTGTCCAGTTGAGTCGTTGAATCGATAAAGGAGTTGACTGCAGCCGAATAGAGCTTAAAACCAAGGATCGATTAACTGACAGGGTGAAACCAATCAAGCTACCCAATCAAACTCGTCCGTTCTTGAGTTATGTCATCCTCAAACATCCTGCGCATTATTCTGACTGGCAATTTCAAAAAGCTCGTCCAATCTTGTCCAATTCTGGGTAGGTTTTCCACAAATTCGAGCAAATTGGCCCAAAACTTTGGCAAGCTTTGTGCAGTGCAACCATAGTTTCGTTGGAGTAGCTAACGAACCTGAGATAGTTTACGAGATAAATATGAGTGGATGTTATACGTGACATATCACAGAAGGGGCTGATTTTTTAATGACCACATACTTTTAGAAGCACATTGAAACTCCTGTTCTCATACTACCAGTGATCATCGGGATGCCTATGTGTGTTGATCTTTATGAAGGTACATAAGTTTCATTCCAGCTCTCATGTTAACTTATACACTCTCACTAACAATCTTTATAAAGCAGTATCTGGTTGTGAAATATCTGTGATTGATATATTGCTGCAATGAAGGCTTGACCTAAAATCTCCACGAGTTTAAAATCGTGAGTTGGTACCAGCAGAATGGACACCTGCTAGCCTTTTATTGCCTTGACTTACATCTCCCGGTCAGGGCTAAATAGGTGTTGGACAAGTTTTGGAAATATACATCGAAAGACACAGGATTTGCATGGCAGACAGCCATAACGTGCTTACAGCCAGTCTTACACCGTTTCCTTTCCAGCGTGCGGTCGAAGGTCGGATGTGAGTATCGGATTAGCTTAACAGATAAGCTCCGTCCGGAATGTAAAAAGTTGATCTTCAAAAAGAAGGAATGCGCATACATATCTCACTCGTCTCCGAGTTTTGACTCCACAAAGTTGATCTGCTCGCGATGTTACACGAATGAGCTGCAACTTTGTCATCATCTGGGGCACTTTTGGCACTTTTGCGCTATCCTGAGGCTCGCGGTAACAAGTGAAAGCACGAATCGCTCGCACTTAAGGTATGTGGGGCTCAATGAAGATTGCTGAGAAGGTTTGGTATGTAGATATTTATCTCTTTTATTGTAACCGCCGAGCATATGGATTCAACTCCACTTTTGCCTCTCAAGGCCATGGGAAGCCATGATCTCTGACAACCGAAATATTCCGCAGAGTTTTGAAACGGGGATAGCGCCAATTTGAACCTGCGCAGGTACCAGATAACCCTCTCGAGTAGAACTTGCGACGCTATTTTCTCGGGTATGAGCATCGCTCGGACGGATTTGTTATATTCCATGTGGAGTAAATTTTGTTCCATAAGCTCAAAACGGCAAAATACTTCACAGCAAGTTTCTCAATGATTTCTTTGACTAATGAAACAAACAAAGAAAGCAACTGTACGATTTACTTTCACGTGTGGGATGATACATCTGAAACGAATTTTTCCATTTACAAGAGCTTCTGAGCAAGTAAAAAATGACAGGACTGAAGGAGTGGATTCATTCAGAAAATGAACTATAAGTTGCGTTGATGCGAGTATTGAAACTATGAGATTGATAGCTGTAGACATGGATCCAACTACAATGGTTTACTATCCTTCAGAGGCTTCAGAGATATATATTTCGAACCATGTTGTTCCCTCCAGTCAACGTTGGTATAGACCAGCGATAGAGGCAGTTTAAATTGCCAACCCAACTTCCTGTCTGCAGAGCTTCACGATACTAGCTCCTTCTTGTAACATTTGAGCGAGTCCTAGGCATATTTGAATAAGACACACAATATATGAGGACTTTTATTCGATGGTCTGGTCTATTTTTCAAGACTGAAGAAAACTTACGGGGCTCTTTGAGGTCACATACTTGCACATCAAATGTGCAGATGTCGAATTGATCGTGCTTGAAATTTCTGATCGATCAAGCAACGCATCAACATCAGATGTGGAGATTTTTGAAAAGAATCGAAGATTAAGAGAGCTCACGGTGGGTCAGGTTTCCCATCATTGAGGAGTTGACATCTCCGAGCTTCTTCTGCTAAAAACTGAGTCGAAAACCCATATTTGTTTTCAATCAATTCAGCATTGAAGATGTCTCTCCTGATCGAATTTCCTTCAACTCGAACGATCTCCGTAAGCCTGTCAAGAATATAAGATAAATCAGTATCTTTGTGTCAGAGAGATCAACATTTTGATTTGATATATTGACTTACGTTCCATCTGGTGAACAGAAGCTGAGAGTACTATCATGGTTGTCTGACATGTGGCAGTCCGACTGTTTTTCTTATATCAGCAATCATTTTTATAACACATGCATGGAGATTCTCAAAAAGGTATCAAATGTACTTCACGGAAAACAAGCATGGCGTTCTAAATGAAGGATTCAAGTAATCAGAACAAGTGAAATCCGCCGATTGGCCAATTGAATCCAGACCAATAAGCAAACCCATGACTTACCTGAGCCTGCAGGATAGCTGAGATAGTGAGAAGGTTCACCACATCTTCAGCATTTGATCGAAGAGATGCAGGTTCAACATATTCGACTAAGAATCTTCCATCCTTAAGAGCACCATAGATACCATCTTCCTCGCTTATTGGGGCGTTGATCTTGTGATTGAAAGAGTCATCCACAAAGGCTTGAAACTGAGTAGAAAGGGCTTGGATGTTGTTTTCCACAGTATCGGTCTAAAGAAGAGATGTGATCAGTAGATAATTCCTCTTGTGGATCAATAAGAGGAAGATCACAAACCGAATTGTATACGATTGGTAAGACTGGGATGTTTGATTCAGCAAGTTGACGCTTTTGCATTCTAACTGCTGGTTTAGCTGCATCTACGTCTTGATCTTTGCCATAGGCATTCATCTGAACATTGTGAAAGACGCCAGTGTGATTACTGTGATTGTTGAAAAGAGGGGAATGAAAAGTTGGGTGAGCCCCCAAAGTTCGCCTTACAGATTCAGAAGACGTCTCAGACTGATCCCCATCAGAGTCAACATACCTTGGAACGTCTTCTGAGTCCAAATCTTGGGATGTACCTTCTTGGGCTTGCTCTTGCGTCGATTTCGGGTCTGCTTCGACAGGTAGAGATCTGGAAGGTCCAACATTCAATGTCTGATTGGTATGGCTTGTGAAATTGGTGCTCGTAGACGGGGTATCGAGAAGATTCGAGGTCTCGGGATGAGGCTTGGGAGGTGATGCACCTGCTGAAGTATGGGCAGCGGCCACCAGCATACTCTGGGCCACTTCAGTACTGAGAGGCTCGAGGGCGGCCAAATAATCGGGGTGTGTGGAGTTATTCACTCCAGATTTATTGACTGTTCCTCCTACCGAAATTGATCCCAGCATGATGCGAATCAAGTCTGGTTCAGGAATGGTGTGCGCATCGCTTTCCCCTGGCGAGAGCTCGACACTTCAGGAATGAAAAGGTATTCTCCTTTGAATGAGACTCTGTGATATCCGGAATGAGTCACTGATCACTTTGAAGATACTTACAAATCGTGAATGAGCTTAGGAACCACCTCTAGAACAACAGACACCTCAGATGATCAGAACCCTTCAGATAGGCTTGTGATCCGTATAGAGAGATTCAACTGACCTTTGACCAATGAAGTTGCCAAAGTGAGCACCCTAGAAAGTGAGTTGGTGTAATAGTTCCATTGTGCGGTAGCAAACAAAACGTAATAATCGTTTCCTCTGACAGGTTCACAGATCTAAACAATCAATGCGAGCAATTCACGCAGGGCTCAGTATCAATCTTTTCTCTTGAATTCTTTTAAGCAAGAAACAAACTGACAGGCCCAACACTGCAATGTTTGTGAATGCCACAGTCGAATTCAGTTCCAAAGTGAAGTTGATCCACATACATCTGATGCCAAATCAACGAATGCAATAAATATATGCGTCTAAACCACATATTCTAGTGAGACACTTACTGGAAGACTGAGAGAGTTTCCCTCCGGGTAGTTCCTCAAATAATCATCGAGCTTCATCTGACGCCAATATGATGGAGTTAATTCAGATGGCCGATCACACTCGTGATGGTGCGAGTGACTTTTCGTAGAACGAGCTACCAATCGTGGATTTTGAGCTTCAAAATTCGCGAGGAATTTGGAGGCAGGCGATGACTTTGTCACACTGATTAGCGTGGCGAAAACTAGGATTGCTATGCGCTGGTTGCACAACATGATGCTTTTTTGTCTGGAGGTTGGGCTGTCCTTGACGTCTTTACTCCAATAAGATAAGAAAGGAAGTTTAAGCTTTGATGAAAGCTGATACAAATGAGTGTGAATGATTTGGATGTCCAAAAGAGTGTAAATGCGATCCCCAATGATGGCTTGCAAAGTAAGGCGATCTGATCGATTTGGAAACTAGATTCGAAGCTTTATAGTGCGATGTTTTTCGCAACTGTGCGACAAGCATGGTTCGCAGTTGTGCTACAGGGCATAGCCTAACCCATGCAGTGACAAGAAGCAAGTCTTTGTTTCAGAATTGACCAGGACCCGGAATTGAACTGCATCGGTGAATTCAAGAGAGCCAACAAGTTTGACGACTTAATTGGAGGAGCTGACGAAACACGTCGGAGCACTGGCCCCTATCCGCATATTAGCCATGTCTCTGTTCCATCCTCGTGGTTTTCGACTCTGCGCAGTTCATTCCTAGGAAGCGAAATGAAGCAAAGTAAGACTTCCTCATCGAAAGCTCTTGTTTTTTTTGCATCAGCCATCAGCAACATCTATCAAAATCCTATCTGCCCAATGCGCAGAAGAATCACAGCGTTCTTGACGAGTTTAGAGAGTTATCTTTCAAGTCCAGTCCAACATTGCTGTCAATTTTGCAAATCTCTTAGACAGTTATATCACGAGAATTTCGCGCCTTGGATTCAGGTCATCAATTGAAGCTCTTGCAAAAAGATCATACCTTCTACTTGAGCCTTTATGCCATCTATTATCTCCTGAAATGATTGAAGTTGTGCACATTCGAGCTCAATCTAGGGGTAATAAGCATCAAGACCCAGGAAAGAGGCAAGAGGAGGACAAATCTACAAGGGTAAAACGTGCTCTGGAAACCTGCTTCAGCGTTGAACGAGATAAGTTTGACCTTTCCAACCTTTTATATACACTTCCAACACCCTTCCAGGGAAACTGGGTGACAAGCTCAGCTCAGACAGGTTCCCAGTTACAAAGATTGTCAACTGTCTGATTCCCTGGTAGGGTTCCTTTCGCCGAGTAGCTATTTAGACATTTGGCTTGCCGCTGTGCGCTTCTTGCAGATCAATTTCGAATGGGACTTGACTCGAACGAGCTGAAGATAGTCCCAAACGCATATTTTGACAAAAAAGTGACCCCAGTGTAAACCTAAGCTCAAGCCATTGACTTGGGGGAATCTACCTGTTTGCCAGGAAGGTATCTTGCTAGACTACATAGTGTTGTGTTCGTGCCGGGAGAAACTGCTCATCTAGGCTCACCAAGCAGACGAGACCCTTAGAGGCTTTTGCGATTCAAATGAATATTGCCCGCCCTGATGTCGTGGACTCTTCCCAATGAAGAGGTTTCTAAGCACGGCATCATGATCTAATAGTCGAATCAATTTACACTGGAAGTAAATCAATGCGCGCAGATAGTAAGCCATTGTCCGGGTATATTTCGACTTTTAGATTGATTTTATTGGTACAAGATACATTAAAGTCATTACACCTCTGGCAAATCAAGTACCGCATTGTCACCCTGGTTGAATAGAGCGTTTCTATAGCGCACAAAAGGGGGAGAAACATCGTGAAGATGACACGAGCCAAGTTTGCAGTCGGCGAAGACAAGACCGCAAGTCAAGTCAAGTAGTTTGAACATGCACCAATAATCAGTGTAACTCTAGGCAGGAGATCATTCAGAAGAGTTAATGATCGGAAATAAACAACTCAACTTGACAATCTGCCCAACCATGCCATATTGGTTTTCGACTTCAAGCTTCTCCACCTCTCGCATCACTTTAGCGAGTTGAGTCTGACGCTGCTGGACATTAGAGGCAGTAATAACTTGAGATCCAGAACCAGCTTTGTTTTCCATGTATTCCGTCAATACGGCAGCTGGCAAGAGACAACCTAGACCGCACCGACTTGTTGTCGCATTATCGGCTTTTGACAGCTTAGCAGTCAGATCTTGAATTTGATTGGCCGTATATGCTCGATTCTGGATAGGGTAAGTATTAAAAGTGAATTAGAAAATGAATAGCCTTATCCCAAAATTTCTTACACAAAAGACTGACTGAGATCAATGAACTTTGACTTAGGGTCATAACCCAATACTTATTCCACAAAAGGTCTAAGATCTTGGTATCTGAACTTGATTTGAAGTGTTCGATTTCTAAGGAATAGTATGCATTGGCATGGGCACCAAAGTCTTCGATTTTACTCAATGGCACAGATTGATAATCATCGCCCTGACCACCATCTGGGGGAACATGGTCTTTAGGGTAGGTTCGAAACGCGCCAATGTCAACTCTACCAGCTGAGATGGTGCGGTTGGGATCTATCTAAAAAGTGAGGCAATACAAAAGTGTTATCAAGACGAACATGAAGTATATAGATCAGAGTCACGTACCACGATCGCGACAAAAGGGTCAGTCCAGGTTTGATTGGTGAGTTGAGTGTTCACATCGATTCCAGATAGCCAACATCCATAGCCCGGATGGGAGTGGTACCATCCTACTACATTCTCAGGCCGGCCTACCTACACAAATCAAACAGGAATCAGAGCTATAATCGGACACGATCTCGAGAGTAAGGCAGTATATGTGAATGACCTTTTTTGAGTGTGTCAAAAATTCCACCATGTATTCATTGGCTTCGCTTGCAGCATTCACTCTGGTTTCAGTTCCCTCGACAGGTAATGCAAACGAATCCATGACCACGAAAGTGTCTCCATCGATTTTACCCTGTCAAACTCAAAACACAATATTATGATGAGTAATGAGTTAAAATCGCGTAAACAAACCATACCTATTACCTGCATGAGGCCCATGATCTCATATTGGCCGCCAGATCGAGCATGCATAACCTTGTTGAGGTAACAAGAGCGAGTCAGATCAATATCGATCGATATGACTATCAGCCAAAATTGGCTCACCATCTTGATTAGAGCCACCCCAGAAACGCGAACTTTCTTAAAATAATTTGGGTCACTTTTCCATTTCTTTTCATTCAAGATTGTCTTTTGTTCTTCAGAATTATACTTGAATATTTGATCTTCCTCTAGCGTCTATAAAGCAGTCTCAGTCAGTTTTCCTCAATCATGATCATTTTCAAGATAATCTGAGGGATTCATCAGGAAACAGACCTACTTGAACATTGTTTGCTATATCGAACGTCTTTTGAGCTACACCTCCAGCAGGACTAGATGAATTTGTAGTGGCCATGCTGTCATTCAAGATGGCATAAGGATCAGATTCCAATTGGACGATGAACAAGTTGAATGGTCAAGTGGGAAAGAAAGCTCGAGATACAGGGCCTTGAAGATCGGAGCCGGGTATTTTCCAGGACTCGGGTACAGTGCATTCATTCTGTTCCTTCACCTTGCCAAATCAAGCCAAGATGAAGCTCATTCCAATTTTGATCCAATAGGCTTTCATTTCTCCTTACTGATGGGGGTACAAGGTAAGTAAAATCAACCACGTTCATACTTTCATCATTATGACTGACTATGCGTAACTCTCTCTATAGGATTATGGACACTGATCACACCAGTGGCGCGTCCCATCAAGTTAGAAACGATGGGTAACAAAAAGTTGGCCATTGACTCCTCCATATGGTTATACCAGGTTCGAGAATACTCTAAAATAAACACTAATATTGAACTAATTTTGAATTTTTGAATCTTAGTTTCAAAATGCAATGAGAGATCGAGAAGGTCGAGGTCTTACAAATGCTCATATTTTAGGATTTCTTCGACGTATCTCAAAACTTTTATATTATGGTATCAAGCCTGTTTTTGTGTTTGATGGAGGAGCACCTGTTTTAAAAAAACAAACAATAGTTGAGCATTTATACTTTTCTTCAATTTTTAAGTATTTTTTTGTACTAGTCTGACATTTACCTCTTTTTTGTTAATCTGTAACGCTTTTTTAAAAAGAATGAAAGGAAGAAGCGAAAACAGGGTGGTCAAGAAAATTTGGCTAAGACAGCTGAAAAACTTTTAGCTGCTCAATTGAGACAAGCTGCTGTGGTACAAGCCCAAAGGTAAGATGCGATGTTTTCTCGAGTACTAAGTGTTTTGCATTGACTGAAGAAGATTAAATCATGTATACTAGGCGAGCAGCGGCTCAAGACTCTGGCGATCAAATCACGACTAATTCAGTTTACTTCAATGATAACCTGGCTCGAGATTTTGCTGAAAAGAATACAATCCCATCGAAGGGTAAACGTCGAAGCTCCTTAACATCTCCTCTCAAGGAATCACCCATCAAACCAAAATACGTACCGAAAGATCAATATCAGCTCCCACCCATTACGCGTAGGACACCTCCTAGAGAAGCTGATCATCGTTTGGCAACTGAAGATGAACTCACTCAGTTTATTGATCAAATGAAACCTGAAGACCTAGACATCAATTCTCCACACTTTCAATCATTGTCCACTGAAATGAAATATGAGATCATCGGTGATCTACGTGTGAAGTCTCGTCAACAGAATCATGCTCGAGTAGAAGCGATGAAACTCAAGAGTGATCAAGATTTTAGTCAAGTTCAGATTTTAAATCTCAAACAACGCAATGAATTAACACAAAAACTTTTGACTGTAACGGATATGGTTGGAAAAGCAAATTTGACGATTCCGGTCAAGATTGCTGCACAACGTAATAAAGAATATGTACTCGTCAAAGCTCAAGATGGTTGGGTACTAGGAATGAGTAGAGATGACGGAAACAATCAAAAAAGCCCAGTGAAGATTGACATGGATTCGGATGACGATGAAGATTTTGTAGAAGTCACGGACTATGCGGAACCTTACACGCTTAGAGATATGTCCAAATCTCAAGCCGCTGAGGATAGCGATGATGCCGAATTCGAAGAAGTCACTATCCCGTCCACCAAAGGTAAAGAACCTCTTCGTTCCCGAGATCATATGACGGAGGCTATACGTTATCATTACGGCGCGCAGAGCACTGCTAGGCCAAAGTCTCCGAAGCACCCCAGATCAATACATACCGGTGCACAACTTTTCAATGCAGATGAAGAGGACGAAGACTTGAACCAAGCTATAATTCAATCTCTTGCTCAGGTCTCTGCTTTCGAATCTCAAACAAGTCCTCATCTGATAGACAGAGAGGGAACTTCAAGTAGCACGGTCGAGAACCGACATCTGAGGCGAACCGATTTAGGGGAAGGCTCAAGTAAATCTCACGGAAATACCCCTGTCGATCAGTTCAAAGCTCAAGGTCGCACTCAGAACCATACGCTGACAGCTTCAGAACCCGTAGAAGCTGATCTCGAGATAGACGACGACTTTGCGATGTTTTTGGAACCCGAAAATCCCAGTGAAAGTCGTACCTCGGCTGTCCCTCAGACCTCGGAAGATTGTCAAAATGATAAAGCTGTAGTAGTTGATGATCTTAGTTCGACATCTAGTAAGGATCACTTGATAATCAGCAATCCTGAAAATGATCGATCTCATGCAAAACAGCCAACGCACCATGCCTCGCAGTCCAATGGGATTGAAGAACCACAACCATCGAATGATCTAGAATTGGACGATGACTTTGCAGATTTTCAAAATCAGCCGAAACTTTCGCCAGATGTGAATGTGCAGAACAGTATGAACCTACCTGGGTTGCCGCCATCCGAAGATTGTAGAACATCCAGCTTCACAACACCTTCCCCGGTCGACGTCTTTCCCACCCCAGTAAGTAAAGGCGAGAATACTACGCCTATAATACAGTCATCAACGTCACCGCACCCCAACGATTCTCAGACTAGAGTAAAGGAGCCGATTACTAGTGATCTCACAAGCACGAAGACGTATTCACCACTCCCAAATTCCTTCAATCTGTTAGCCGATCATAATGGCCCCGTTCTTGAACCGAAAATGGACACAATAGCCATCGACGCCCATGCCACGACATCGACTGCTATCTCGGCATCGGAGCCGAAATCCCTTCCAGAGCTCAATGCATCTACCGACACATCTCACCTGCAAGCTGAAGGGAACCATATGGATTTGACAGAGTCTTTGTCATTCCATAGGCTAGTTGATACTCCGAGTGTTCCACACGCTGTTGTTGAGGCGAATGACAAGTCGACACCGATACCTACTCCCAACAATATGGTGGCTTCACAATCACTATCGCAAGAATCGCAACGGACGAAGACACGCATTCCAACTCCACCTCCCCAATCTTTGAATTCCAATCAACTGGCCAATGCAGGTAATAGGAATGTAACAAATGACGATACTAGCGACGAGGAACCGATTCCTTGGTCTCGCAGTCCCACTCCAGTCGCCCGTCCGCAAAGCAAAGCTAAACAACCTGCGCATGTGGATGTAGTCAGTGACCCCGAGGATGACGATCTCAATGTTGCACTCGAAGCAGAAGAGCGAGAATTAGCGCATAATTTGGAGTCTGAATCAAATCAATGGACCAAATTCCTCTCAGAATTACAAGATGCAGAAAGACTAGATGATATGAGACATCAAGTGGATGCAGAAGTAAATAAATTAAAGGATCAACGAGTTAAAGACAGACGAGATGCGGATGACGTTAACTTGCAGATGTCAAAAGATATCCAATCTATGTTGAGGTTGTTTGGAATCCCATATGTGATTTCACCTATGGAAGCTGAAGCACAATGCGCAGAATTACTCAAAAAAGGTTTAGTAGATGGAATCATTACAGATGATTCAGATGTGTTTTTGTTTGGTGGGACTAGAGTATATAAGAATATGTTCAATCAAAACAAATTTGTTGAATGCTATCTGATGAACGATTTAGAAAAAGAATTGGGACTCAGTAGGCAAAGATTGATCCAGTTGGCTTATCTCTTGGGATCTGATTACACGGAAGGATTGGCTGGTGTAGGACCTGTGACGGCAATGGAAATCTTAAGCGAGTTTGATGATGAACATTTGACGGTCGCTGGGCTCGATAGCTTGATCAACTTTAAAAGATGGTGGATGAAGGTTCAGGTTGGGAAAGATAGTGAACAGGAATCCGGCACCGCTTTCCGAAAGAAGTTTGTAAGCGCATTTTTTGCATAGACCTATTGTAGAAATAAAACATCTATGAACGCTCGATTACTGATGTTCGTTTGTTCTCGTACTTTTAGCGCAAGAAAAAGGACAAGATCTGGCTGGAAGACAGTTGGCCAAATCCGGCAGTTGCTGAGGCATATCACAAGCCAACAGTAGATACGTCTGATCAGAGGTTCACGTGGGGTTTTCCCGACTTGGACGGACTGCGACAGTAAGACTACATCTGAACTAATATTCTCTTTATCCCTGGTCGATATGGGTCTATGTTCTGATGTTTGGCTGGCAAGTAGGTTTCTTTCAGATCACCTCAGTTGGCCCTCAAGTAAGACCGATGACGTCATACTGCCGTTGATCAAGAGGCAAACACAACGCATCAATGGAGTTGAACATACCCAAGGCGTTCTAGATTCTTTCTTTGATTATTCACTTACAAATGGTGCCACCTCCTATGCACCACCACCCAAGTTAGTACTAACTAGCTGTATTAAGCCCACGTTTCTTCAAGTTTACTGATTCTTTATGATACATGTAGGATCGTATCAGGCTTTCAAAGTCAAAAATTGCAAACGATTGTTCAAAATTGGAGAAAGAAACAAAAAGAAAAACAAGATTCAAATCAAAATGAAACTGTCTTGGATGTTCCTGTCCCAACGGCAGCACAAAATCAATCTACAAATTCTCGATCAAAAGGTAAAAAGAAGGCAAGTACTACACAATCTTCTAGAAAGAAACCAAAGAATAATACTACAAGTACTTCAGAATCAATACCAAGCAAGCAACCTAGAAAGCGCGCTATCAGAGCTAAGAGAGCTATTGTCGATCAAGAGCTTGATGTTCAACCTGTTGAAGGGACTTCAAAACATTTTGCCGGAAGCTCTAAAGAGACACCAGCGCAGCCGGTCATCAAACGCCCAGTACGTGCAACAAGGGCTCAACGGACGAGGAGTAGTGATGATGATGAGTTTCGGATCGAGACATCATCGGCTGATGAATGGATGGCAAGTCTTGTAGAGTAGTGCGTTAAATATAGATAGGTGAACATGTTTATATATAGTGACTTTCAATCTTTAATTTACAAGCACCAGTCAATCTTCATTATCACTGTAATTTATTTATCCTGTTCACATCATTGGCTTTGGTTTAGAAGATGTTTAAATTGTATATTGGATTAATACTTGTTTTTGAATTGATATCTGTCTACAAAATGTATTGTCTAGCTGTGGATCAGTTTTTTGTACTCAGTGGTTGTCTTTGTAAACTCATGACACACTCATACACTCCCAGTGCACCCTATCAAGACACAAACCAAGGTTGCATTCAAAAAGTTTCATTTGTCTTGACTGGATTTCTGGTTTGAAGTTTTTTCCAAACTAACCAAAAATGTCTTAATGTAGAGAACATATATCTGCCTTTATAATATTTCAACCTTTGTATTTCATACAAAGATCTCATTTCAAGGTAACAGAGGTTCAAACATAGAGATAAGAGAGATCACAATGAGTACATGCATTCCAAGAAGGTGAAGTATTCCTAGTACTTACCAGGAAATATGCAGTCATCATAGTAAGACTTGAATATCTTCCAGCCCACTCTTTTTGTGAGGGTCTAGGAGATGATTCGACATCTTATACTTCAATTGCTCAGGAAAATACAGATATAGATAAATGTGTATATGATCATCTTGTTTGTTCAAATTGTTTTTGAAAAAAGGCAGGGATATGACAACAAGTTTTCTTCAACTTCAGATCAGATCAAACTCTAATGAACACCATGCCTGTCCCCCATGAGCATGTCAATGTGCTCACACGGAGAGTTGTGTAATAAATTTGAATGGATCTTTATTCAATTTGTCTCTAGAAAATGCAAATCCTTTGTTAATAATAATAGACAATCAAAAATGTACCGTTTGTCAATGGAACTATGAACAAAGGAGCCCATTTAACAATCTTGCTGTCTGAACCTCTTGACCAAGGCAATTGTATGCTTAGCTCTCAGACCTGTTTGTAGGCTATATCCACCCTCTACGGAAATTGATTGGTGTGAGCACGTCGACATGCTACCTCAAAACAGACATGGTGGAAGGCTCATTCAATATTTCTTGAATGTATGTGAATATAATATATATAGTACTGATCCAATAAAATGGATTGTAGACAAGAAATAAAACTGATCAAAACTTAAAGCCAACAAACCAATTTGCTTCCTGTCTCTCATTCTATATATCTCTTTATTTCAAATTTGTTTAATTTCTTTCAATCATCAATTTACAAAATCAAACTTATCATAAACACAAATTCAATCAATACTTTTACTCTAAACAAACATCAATTTCCTCTAATTTCCTTCTTCTTCTTTAATGACTTTCCAAACTTTATCAATTGGCATTTTCTTACCAGTCCAAATTTCAAATTGTTTTGATCCTTGTTCAATTAAGATTTCCAATCCGTTTACAAACTTCCATCCATCTCCCAAAACATTTTCATAACCCGAATTAATTTCATAAGCTAATTCTACCAACACACCACCTCCTTTTCTTTTTAATAATTCTTTGGGTACTTTAGTTGTATCAGATGGTACAGTTGAAATCACAATTCCTGGTTCTAATTTCATCGCTTCTTCAATGTCTTCTAATACTTCAATTGACCATGAAGTTGGCATTGCAGCTACTAATTCTTCTGCACGAGATCTCGTTCGATTGACTAATCCGATTCGATTGACTCCAAGTCGATGAAGTGCATACACCGCCGCTCGACTTGTCCCACCCGCACCCACTACTAAAGCTGTAGCCCTTACAGTTGGGTCTGCTGGTAATGATCTTCTGATCAAAGTAGCAATCGCATACCAATCTGTATTATCTCCAATCAACTTATCTCCTCTTCTAATGATCGTATTCACCGCTCCTACTTCTCGCGCCTCATCGGTGAGCTCATCCATCAGTGAAAGAACTTCAAGTTTAAGTGGGATTGTAACAGAGGCACCACCAAAATCAGGCGCTCTTAATACCGCTTTAACACTCTCCTTATCAAGTGTATCAGTCTCCATCGGGCTGTAAACATGTGAGCGTAAGCTGAGAGCTTCGAATGAGGTATTGTGCATGAGTGGTGATCGAGAGTGACCGATAGGGTTGCCAAACAGCCAGAACTGACGTGATGGATGCTGACCTAGTAAGTCGAGAGCTTGTTGAATCTGATTATATGTGAGCTGACCCGGTGCAGCTGGTTCTGGAAGTAGTTCATGAGTCAATGGACTAAGGACTGGTGATAATATCCTTGACATCTGTCCCTCTAGGCCCATATTGATAGTAATCAGGGGTGGGAATGAAGTTGAAGAATGAGTAGCACGAAAGTTGAGTAGAGCAAGATTATCATCCATGGATTTCGCAACAGTAACAAGTTTGACGATATCGGCATACTTTCGAATTGCTTGATACTTTGATTCCATCTCTTTTGAGTTCCAACTTAATTTTCCTGCAAAGTCATGATAAGAACCAATCAATAGACTATGTCCTTTTTTCGCTCCAAGCTGTCGTATTAATTCAGGAGAGTGTCCAAGTTCCACGTCAACATATTCACATCCAGTCCTAAGACCTAGCTCAAGTAATTCGAAATACTCCTTCTCTGATCCTTGACCAGGAAACTTGCCTCCTTGTCCATCAGTCCGAACCGTGAAGATGATCGGCAAAGTGGTCAGTCGACGTAAAGCTGCAACCTGTCTCCTGATAAAATGTAAGGAGGGCACCGTAGACGCCTGAGGGGTTTTACCAGCCGATGAAAGTAAGTCTACCCTTAGCTCTACTGCATCACAACCGGTAGTAAGCTGATTGAAATTTGATAACGCCGGCAAATGTATTGCCATAGGCTCCGTGAGTGATGGCAGGGTGAGGGCGACAAAGTATGTACGCGATTCAAGGCCGAGTGAGACATGGTTTTTATCATCGCCTGTGATGAAGTCGAAGAATTGACGCATCACTCTTCGCTCATTGGCCAAAGTTTGTGGTGAGTCAGCGGTCATTCCGAGATTGAAGAACTCCACATTTGAACACTCAAGTAACCATGGTTCACGACGCTTCCAAATGACGTCAATCGGTTCTCCGAGCGAGGGACGAGTACTATCCTCGTGAAGATAAGCCTTCACCTCTTCTAAATCCCGATTGATTTGAACCACTGGTCCCTTGTAATTCTTTAACAGCTCTCGGGCTTCCTTCGTCTCCACTATCCCCCCGCCCAATGAAATCACATGTCTTGTTGGGAACTTTTTTAGGATTTCACCAAGACTAGCCACCTCTTCGCGACGAAAAGCTTCCCATCCGTGTTTGTGGACGAAATCAGTGATGATGGTCGAATGACGGTCTTGAAAGTATAAATCACTGTCAATCAAGGGCCAGCCCGATGCGCTGGCTGCGACTCGACCTGCAAAAGACTTTCCTGAGCCTCTCATCCCGCATAACAACTGGAGGTGGGTGCAAACATCGAGCCACATGATTAGATTCTTCAAATTCACTGACAGGTGACGAGGGAAAAATTATCACTCACGATAGAGGGCTGATTGTTTCCATCGATTTTCGCTGCCTGCGATTTCTTTTCCTCCGCAGTAGGTCCGCCTACACCTTCGATCATGAATCCCATCTTACTTGAAAAATCATCCCACCAACTTGGCCAAGTTTTCTCCACACATCGTTTTTCATTTAAAACTAGACCTTTCCCACCCGGAACGCTTCCCAACACCGAGAATGCCATTGCAACCCGATGATCATCATAACAATGTATTCGAGCACCTTCCAATAGCTCGCAAGCCGGTTTGCCATACACCTCAATCCCATCAGGAAGTTCTTCTGCACGAATCCCTAATTTGGCCAATTCTGCAACCATTGCGGCAATTCGATCACATTCTTTCACTCGTTGATTGGCGATTCCTACGACTTTTGTCGATTGAGATCCGTCAGCTCCTGATCCAGCGACGCCTAATACCACACAAGCTGTCAAGAATGCGTCGGTCATCGTCTCCATATCAATGGTTCCAAGTTGGCGCAATCTTCCAGGATCAGATGGGCCTACAAGTTTAGTCGTCGTGGCGGTTTGTTCAACGGTACATCCCATCGGGCCAAGGACCTTGGTCGCAAATTGTGCATCTCCCTGTAGAGACGCCGATCCGATATTGTCAAGCGTGATCGTGAGACCGTTGAGTGCAGCGATCGCAAGCGGGTAAGTTGCGCTACTAGCATCGCTCTCGATAGCGTATGCGCCAGACGGGCATGTGTACTTGCCGATCGGAATATGATAGGTATGCTGATTGGCTTCATCGCGTTTAACAGAAATTCCAAAGGCAGCCATCATCGCAAGGGTCATATCGATGTATGGTTGAGAGATCACCGTACCACCAACGAGAGTCAAGGTCACAGGGTTGCGGGCATAAGGAGCAGCGAGAAGGATAGAGGAGACGTATTGAGAAGAGACAGAAGCGGCTAATTCGATTAAACCACCCTGAAGGCCACCTCCAGGGATCTCAAGTGGTAAACATCCTTCAGTACCAAGGTAAGTCAACTCATTTCCACCTTGACGCAGAGCATCGACGAGTGGTCCGATTGGTCTTTGCTTCATGCGTGCATTTCCAGTAATAACAGTACGTTCAGAACGAGAGGTAGACCCCGGTTGGTCATCACAGGTGATGAGAGTGCAGACTGTGGTAAGGAAGCGAGCAGCAGTACCTGCGTTGCCCAAGTAGACCTGTTTACCTTTGGGAGGTGGCTAAAGTATGACAATGTGGAAATCAGCACGGTGAAATACGTTCCTGGCTATGATCAGCAAGCTTAGAAGGAGAACACAACAAGTGATCTTGATCATTGACGAGTCTCCGATCCTCTCTAGAGCAAAAGGAAGTGCTTACGTGTAATTTACCACCTCCACCACGCACAACCAAGGTTGCACCACCATCTTCCCAAGAAAATGAAGCCCCACCCATATCTTCCAAGGCTGTCATCATCACTTGTGTATCATCTGAGGAAAGTAAATTGGTAAGACGACATGTACCAGTGGATAGTGCGGCGAGAACGAGTGCTCGGTTGGAAATAGATTTGCTACCAGGCGTGGTAATTTTGAGTTGTGTAGAAGAGGGTGGTCCAGGAAAGACTCGAACGCAAGGAGCGATGATCCGCTTGATCAATGAATCTTCAACACCTGTTGCACGTTCTTCAACAGTACGTCCGATTCGAGAAAGGAGGACGACTTTTTTGAGCTTGCCAGCGTTTTTCTTATCAACGCTCATCAGATCGAGTAGACGGTCAGGTGTGAGACCAGATGCATTAGGTGCACCTGACATACGAGGATCGGCCAATGAGACTGGAAGGCCATAAGCAGTGAGACATTTGCTCAGTCTGCCCACAGCATCATTACGTAGGAAGCCGAGAGCGCGTGAAATTTCAGCTTCAAGAACCATACCGACACTAACACATTCACCATGTAACAAATCAGGCGTGAGGACAGCCTCGATGGCATGTCCGATGGTATGACCAAAGTTTACAAGGTTTCGGAGACCGGTTTCTTTTTCGTCTTTAGTCACCACTTCTGCCTTGACTGCTACGGATGCTCGAATGACAGAGAGTAGAAGTTCCTGCGAAGCTGTGATGCTGCTGGTCTCCCTAGCGGTTGGAGGTGATAAGACGGCTGATCGAATAGCAGCGACACCAGCCTCGAGTTTCTCAAATTCTGTCTCGTCCCATATTGCCGCAGTCTGTCAAAACACAACATTAACTTCAGTTGAATGATAAAAAGCAATAGCATAGTGAAATATGTCCACTCAACCTTGATAACTTCGGCCATTCCATTGACAAATTCTCTTTCAGGTAAAGTTTCAAGGTAAGCTGGATCGATAAACACAAACGAAGGCTGCCAAAATGCACCGATCAAGTTTTTTCCAAGAGGTGTATCGATTGCAGTCTAATTGAAACCTCCTCAAAAAGAAACCAATGTGAATCATTTGTGACATTTTGAAAAGATTAATTATTTTTTTTTGAAAAAAAAAGGTTAATAACAAAATGCATACCTTTCCACCAACTGAAGAATCTACCATGGCTAAAAGTGTAGTAGGAATTTGACAAAATCTTAAACCTCTCATAAATGTAGCAGCCACAAACCCGATCAAGTCTCCCACCACTCCTCCTCCTAAAGCCAATAAAACGGTATCCCTCGTACATCGTTGTTCAAGTAACCAATCTTCAATTTCTGCTTTAGTTTCTCTACTTTTACTTTGTTCACCTGGTGGAATGATATAAGTAAGTAACTTTGCAGTCGGTTTTTCCTTTTCAAAGGCATCTTGAAGTGGCGCTAGATGAAGTTTAGCCAAGTGAGAATCTGTGATGATCACATAAGTTGAGGCTGGTAAGTCATTGAGGACGGTATGAGCGATATAAGACTGTAGACGAAAGCCGAGTTTAATAGAAGGAGATCCAAGGATATGAACTGATTGAACGTCTTGATTTGCCATTGGAGATACTCCAGCCGAGTCCGAGAGTATGACTGAACTTGGATATCAAAGTCGGTAGTATTGTAGGATTCGAAGATATCAAAGGTCAATAAGATAATAAGGAAATCAGTTGATACTTGATTGATTGTTCAAAGTTGATCGAAAGGCGGTGAAACGTTGACCAAATTGTAATCAACACAGCACTTGCAGCTTTTTTTTTGAAAATTGCAAATGCAAGTTGCATACATTTATGCAGCAGTGTAAACCAATTCATGGGTTTTGTCCGGTTTGTTTATGTGAACTGTAATCGAAAAGAGGTTCCGGCAACAATCACCATCTTTGAATTGCCTCTTGTGCTGTAAGCTTAACATAAGCCCCTCTTCCGACGCGGCCACGTCCGCTCTCGAAGAGGGGCTTAGGGCATACACCCCGAGCTTGGCCTGAGACCAGCAGGAATTTCGAGCACTTTTGCTTGAAATCCCTTTTTGAGGGCTTTAAACATCGTAAAAGGTTGCAAGAAATTCAGGAGTGCCTCTGCTGAGCCTTCTCCTTCACTTCGGACTGTTTTTAGCATGTCACCACTTGTAGATTGTGGGAAAATTGGATTCCAATATCCATGGATTTCAACGGGTTCAGCGCGCGTGCAGGCCCGGAAATTGATTTGGGAGTATTGGCCAAATATTTTGTTTCGGACCCCCATTATTTTGTTTTGGACAGAAGTCCAAAACAAGCTTACGTGCGGCTATCTGCCCCAAGCGCTTTCAATTGTTGCACCCCCGCTCATGCACGACGCGGTTACAACGCGGTTGAACACCACCACCTAATTACCTTTAGACATGCATCTTCGAAGTTCAGCAAGAGAAGCAGCGACCACGAAATCACCGGAAGACAATTCTAATCAAGCAAGTCATTCTCCGAAAGCAATTCAATTCAAGCCAGGTCGACCTCTGATTGAAGAAAAACACAAAAAAAGCTCACCTGACGCCCAAATCGAGATTCTTCAGGCCATGTTCCATACCAAATACGGTTTCGAGTCTCGAGAAAAACAGATACGATCTGTCCATAGCCTGATGAACAACAAGACCACATTCCTTCTTGCCGGAACCGGGTTTGGGAAGTCTTGCGTAGCCGAGCTGTTTCTGATGCTGTTTCCTGAGGACTCGGGAGCCTTTGTCCTAGTTTTGAATCCCACAGACGCGTTGGGTGACGATCAGGTACGTTTTGTTTTTTGTTTGAGTGTCCTCACGGTTGGTTTCACTGACAAAATGTGGTGAGTTTGCTTAGGTGAAGGAAAAGACGAAGGCGGGCTTTTCAGCCGTGAATCTGAACCGTCATAATTTTACGGACGAGGTAATACGCAACCTTGAGCGCGGTGTGTACCGTTTTGTGTATGTGGTGAGTTATGGCTGCCGCTGTACGTTGAATTCTCGTAGCTAATCATTTGCTACATTTCTAGTCACCCGAAATCTTTTTAAACAATCCTCGGTTTACAAGCATCTTTTTCTCGAAAAATTTCCAAGAGAAATTGGTCCTCAAGGTGGTTGACGAGGCCCATCTCATTTACTACTGGGGTCTGGCGAAAAGTGATAAACACAAGATTGGAATTTCTATAACTGGCCCTCAAGACAGATCGTCTTTTCGGCCTTCGTATGGAGATCTAATTGAAAGGTTTTTGGCTACCGAGCGGGTACCGATTCTCTTGATGTCAGCTACCTGCCCACCCAAGGCGATGAACGCAATTTTCGAAAATCTTCAATTACGACCGAGTGAAGTCGACATTCACAAAGCCGAGCTGACGCGCCCGGAACTTCGCTGGATTCGACTCCGAGTCCCAACAGGCATCTCCGCCATTGGATATCTTTCCAACTTTTTCGGTCCGAAAGAGAACGTACCCGACAACTCTATCCCGCCCACTCTAGTTTACTGCCACACCCAGGATGACACTTTCGCCGCAATGCAAGCTATAAACCTTGGCCGCGAAAATCCTACAGACTCGAGCTGTGGAGTTAGTACCTGCGTGCGAAGATATCACGCTACCACTGCACCCAACGATAAAAATCGGCCAGATGCTG